GCTCACTCAGTGACACGCACTTCCTCACGCACACGCGACTTCCGCCTTATGATGGATGCAGGTTCATTATTTTAAGGCACTTGAAAGAAAGAAGACTCACACGGCGGTGGGAGCGGAGACGGCCGCTTTGGCGGAGATCCAGTCGTCCAGAAGGTTGCGTGGGCCCATGATGGCCTCCAGAGTCAGGTCCGACACCTTGCCTGAACGGCGAACACAGGGGTGCAGTGCGGCGCAGAGCACATGAGAGGGACGGCCGCTTTAGAAAACGAAGAGGAGGAATATAGACGCGAGTGACGAGCAGAGGCGTGAAAGAAGTACTCAGGCACAAAAGGAACGGATAGCAAGACTCATTGGTCAGGAAGCGAATAATCAAATCATCCAAATCACGACACACGAAGAGCCCAATCGTACGCAGACAGGTCAGCGCACTCGAGACGAGAAAAGACGGCTTTTTGCCATATTCTATTCACTCTGTTATTGAAATTTGCTCACTCGTGTTCTCATCTTCCGTATTCCTTGTTTTGCCATCTGTTGTTGATTAATTTGTCATTAGGCGCAGTAAAGCATAACGAGAGGCACAGCATGATGACCAGGGAAGCATCACGAGCAGCGACTCACTGTCGAGCGCGCCACTGCCCTTCTTCTTCTCCACGTCCTCCACAATCCGCCTGATTAGCTCCTCCACCTCCTCCGCCTTCAGCTCCTTGCTTCCGCCGCTCTCCTCCGCCTTCACCACCTTCTCCGTTTTGTCCGCCTCCGCACCCTTGCTGCTGACGTCAGCCTGCGCTGTTGAAGACGCGGCTGCGGGTGCCTGCGAGGCAGCTGGTGCTGCAGCGTCCGCCTTTTTCTCTGCGGGACGGAATATGGAGGAGGAGGGTGTATGAGGTGTTTCGTTTTGCAGAGAGTTACGCAAAACGGCGCACGATGTCTGACAAACACAGCGAGACGCGTAAAAGACTAGCAAAAAAAACATATATATACGAGGCGTAGCGCCTAAGGGCAGAACGCAACGTGGGGAAGAGCAAGAAAACGTACCTTTACCCGCGTTGAGCTTGTCGAAGTACGAATTCAGGGAGCTCAGTGCTTGAAAGTCCTTGGTGCCTTTCTTCTTCTCCGCCGAACTGCTCGTATCAGCGGTGGCGGATGACGCTGTCGAACTCGCGCTGGCGGCAGGCGATGCAGCAGTCTCTGCTGATGCTGCAGCAGCTGCAGGCGCAGCCACGGCTTCCGCGGTTTGTTGCTCTTGTGTTTGCTTCTCTCCGCTGCTGCTGCTGCTGCTGGAAGAGCCATTCAGCTTGGCAAAGTACGCGTCGAGGCTCTTCATACTCGAAGGAGGAGGCGGAGAAGACGGAGGCGCGTCTGCTTTAGGAGAGCCTGATTGGTCCGAGTCATGGCTCGGTCGTTGCTGGTCTTCGGAAGCTCTAACCCCAACGCCATTTTCCTTCTCCTCCGCTACAGTTGTTGTCGACTCCGAGCCTCCAGGCAGAGCACGAAGCCGGGACCGACGCTGCGAGTGTATTGAAGAAATTCTTGCTCCTCCGAGTGTGACGGACCGAGCTTGGGATTCGCTGGAGCGAAGATGCGCAAAGCGGGAAGCGGATGGTGGCACACGAGATGGCGAAACGACGGTTGATACGGAATTAGAACACGAATTTCGGAATCTTGAGTCACGCGGCGGTAAGAGGCGATGGCCATGTGCAGCTGCTGGTCTGGTAAGTGAAAGGACTGTAGATGACATTTTTTTCCAAAAACCGTGGAAATAAGTTGTCTAGAGAGGAACAAGGAACCACAACGCTCGTCTAGGTTTGAGGAAAATTACCGAATATCCTCAAAGCTACGAGCGCAACGCAGGATGAAGCACTTGCTAGGTAGGAACCAAATGACAGCCTGATCAGAGCACAATGTGAATGTGAAGCTGGAACAATGTGCAGGAATTCCCAAGGCTCCACTGAGATAAAAATGGTTGTGCTGCAGCAAACACAAATGGTTGTGAAATGATGTGATTGTAGTGAGGGGAGCCTGGAAAAGGGGGTGAGCGGTGCTGTGGAGAATCCCCCCCAGATGCGCACAACACATTCGATCGAAGGGACTGCCTGAAACAGGCTAGTGAAAGCAACCTCATGACAGGACAGAACAGAGGGCGATGGAGGTCGTTCTGTCATTGGACGCCTCCGCGCAGAGCACTTTGCTGATCTTACACGTCAGCCTCGCGTGCGATGAGAGGTGCAATTCTGGCAGCACCTGACCACCTCTAAGCCGACGTGTCAGTAACCACTTCTGTCGATGTGGCGAAGTGGGGTTGTGGGGGTTGAATGCTGGGATTGCGTAGCATGTTGCCCCAAAACCGAAGGAAAATACAGGGAGCTCCGCTGGAAGCAAACCGCTTCCAAGAGGAATTAGCTGTAGACTAGTTTTGAAGCATGACGTTCTATTTGAGCTGTTTTGCCTGTCATAACACTGCACACTTTCTCCATTATCCCTAGAAGTTCCAGAAGTTCTATAACCAGGAAGAGATTCATGGACATACAATGATGAAGGCATAAAATATGCCACGTAATATGTATATTACATGTGGTGTATCTCTCGTTTCTATGCTGGTTATGTGGTTACTGGATAAGCTGCTAGTACTCTTATACACGGTGCACTTGTATCTGATGTTTCCCTCCACCCTGACACGCAGCACAGACTCGAAACAGGGTCCTTTCCTGCGTCGGACACCCCTGCGCCAGTGTTGGTTTGAGCTCTGCGGAAGCTGCAGGGGGATCTGTCATCCGCAACACTCCCCGCGTTCACAGGGAATGGCGGAAGACGGAAGCGGCTTTTCCCCATCGCTCTCTCAATCCGTCCCCACCAGCAAGCCTATCCAGTCTATGGTAAGTTGCTGTAGTTGATACTCACGACTGCGGTTGGGAATACGTTTTGAGAATTGCAGCAGAGCACCAACGTCTCGATAGCCAAAGTCCAGCCATGGCTCCCGCACTGCGAGAACCTGTCGTCGGATCCATCGCGGAGCTCGATTCCATGCGTTGCGATACAACCATATTGATTGACAGGCAGCCTTCTTCCGCGTGTTGTGCGAGAGACAGTCGGATCGTCCACTCCGGTGTACCATCAAATGCAGCTGGCTGCGCTGCCGCTTCTTTAGCGAATTGTGCGAACTGCCACACGAACAGTAGAGGTAGTTGTGAGGAAGAGCTGGGGAGGCCGAATGCGGACGGCATAAGCGAGGGCCAATTGGCTGCACTAGACTCCGACAGTGTCACTTCCGAGCCTGTGTCGTCAGGGCGAGTTTCTGAAACTCAGCGCGACCGTCCAAATTTCGAGCTCGACCAGTCCGTAGAACTCTTAGGTCTTAACCTTGTCGTCGGTTCCGAACCCGTCGAGTCCATATCCGAGCCTGCCTCGTCCTCGCGACCCGAGGCTGAGAGGGACGGACAAGAATCTCCTCATTTAGAGCAATTTGCTGACGCCTTGTCAGATCCTCTTTCCACGTCAGACACGGATTTTGACGACCAGTCTTCCTTCCGCAACCTTCCCCAGTGTCATCAACAAAGTCCGCAGATCCCGCGGCAGTCCTCTCCGCGCCCGCGACAGCCGTGTCCGCGCCACCGCGGCGTTCCCCCGCCGGTTTCGGGCCTCTGGCGGATGATTGCCACCGCTACAGTCGGCGTGGCTGCGTTTGTCCTTTTCCGCGGGCGGGGAAGGACGCGGTTGCGATGCGGCACCGGCTTTCCCGATGTGATTGAGAAGGCCCCGCCACCGCAGATTAGGGTTTGGGGGGAGCGGCCACGTGTGCAGGAATATGTAAGCATTGGGGATAGGTTATTAGAAGCTGTGGTTCCTTGGGCGGTGGATGGATATCAGGACTACGATTATGGTAGCGAGATTAGTGGGGGATATGGCAGTGATGTAAATCTAGAAGACTAGGATTAGAGCATGTAGGTGGATAGGAGTATGTAGGTTGTTAGATTAATAACTTCAGTAAATTGCTCTGGGTATCACGGGTGAATGGAAACCATATGTACGTACCTGTTCCTGTCACTGGACGTTGCAAGCCAGCTAGATTTGAAAGGCAAATATGTTTGTCCACCTTAGTTTGTCTTTTTGTTTAAGCAATCTGGTGTGAGAGCATCTTATCTTCCTGAAATCAGCTGCTTCGTTCAGTCGAAGAAGCTACAATAGCGTACGTCAGCGTACTTTCCTATTGGGTGGATCAGGCCACCCCAGCTTCACCACACAAGCCAGGTCTTGGGATTTGCGAAATTCCAAGCTGGGGAGATCTCAAAATATGGGTGTGCACTTGTTTACTCCACGTGGCCTTTCTTTTCCATGCTGGCTAGCCTGCCTGCCCGGCTGGCGAATAAATATCCACTTTCAATCTGAGTCGCAGACGCGGCGGCCCCAAGATTCAAGTTGGCATGGCGTGCCAATCTCGACATTCCTCCAGCACACAAGATTCTGTCACCGCACTCTACCTAGCGTAGTTACATCGCCACCTCGTGAACCCGCATCCAAACCCGCAGTCTGAAAGTTATGGGGCTTGATGATGCTCCCGACTTGATGCTGTTCGAAACATTCTTCAGAAAAGCATTGGCAACTGCTGTGAAGGTTTTTGCTGAGCCACGACAACTGATTCCGCCATGGCGAGCTGCACGGTGAATCCGTCGGCACTGAAAGCCCCAGCTCCCTTAGGTGTGCCAATCGCGTCGCGCGCTGAAGGCAGCGGTAAGAATCGATCGCGGCGTGGCGTTGGCGTGAAGATCCCCTCAGGCTTCCCCCAGGGCCACTCGATCGCAAAAGCCTCCCCGTTTTCGTCCAGATCTGTTGATTCTTTGTATGGCATCTATCCCAGTCGATTACCTGGTAACCCGGGAACTCGTAGGCTGGCAGCAGCGGATGGCGATAAGGAGTGGCGACTTTACACGTCAGATCCGTCCAATGACGAGGAAAATGAGCCCGTGAAATCAGCCGTAACAAGCGATGGCGGAGAGGTTTCGCAGATGACTGGCGGGGAAAGCGCAGCTGGGGGAAGCGCAGGGGGGAAAAGCGCATCAGGAGAAAGCGCAGCGAAACCGAGCGTGCAGGCTCAAACAGCGAGTGCAAGGGACCCCGAGGCGCCGCCGTCCACTCTCGAGCCGCCCCCTGCTTCGCCGGGTTCTTCTGGTTCGGCAGCCAGCGTGCGGGGCTCCGAATCGCCTCTTAGCTCGCTGCGCGTTATGTTGGAAGTTGCGGAGCAAGAACTAGCAGCGGCTAGGGACCAGTCTCTAGCCGCCGAGGTTGAGGCGCAACGCGTTGCGGAACGAGCGATTGAGCTGAAGGACGCGGCTGTTGCAGCGGAGAACGCGGTGGATGAGGTGCTGCGTGACGTGGAAACTGAGCTGGCTGTCGAGGTGGCAGCGCAGAAGGCGCTGAACGCTGCTGATGCGGCGTTCGTTGCGCAAGAGGAGGCGGCAACGGCGGCGGAAGCGGAATTGCGCGCAGCACTGCTAGAGTTCGTTAATAGAGAGGGCGAAGGGGGAAGGTCAGAGGAGGAAGGCGGGCTGGGGAGCGCGGATCCGGGAACTGGCGCCCGGGGGAAGCCTTCTGCGGAAAAGGTAACTGCGGAAAGGGTAGCCGCTCTGAAGGCTGCGGTGAAAGAGGCGCAAGAGTTATTGCAGGCGCGCAGGGAGGAGCTGCGCACGAGGCGGGAGGCGCTGACGCAGGTGCTGGCGCGCAAGGAGCGGCTGCTGCAGCTGGCGGCGGAGCGGGCGGAGCGCGCGGGGGAGGCGCGGAGGTTGGCGCAGGAGGCGGAGGAGCGCGCGGGTGCGAGCATGGCGGCGGCGGAAGAGGCGGTGGCGGGGGAGGTGGAGGCGAATAGGCGCGTGTCGGATGCGAGCAAGGCAATCAGCAGGGCGGAGAAGCTGAGCAACGATATCGCCAAGGTATGGCGGATGGGGAATGACAGAAAAAGGAGGGATTTTTGGAAGCTTCGGGAATTCAAACGATCAGGTGAATGAGCAGACATGCATGCGTGATTCTCTCTTGATGAGTTTCGAAAACAGTTGTTTTTTATCAGGTTACTCAAAATCGAAGGTAATCTTCTATGGTTGATTTGTTGCACTGAAACCCCAAAACCCTGGTTGCAGGCAAGGGAGAAGGCGGCGCTGCTGACGGTGGAGAAGGAGGCGCTGCTGGCCAATGAGGTGGCTCGGGCGTCTGCTGCGCTGGCGTCTACAGTGAAAGAGGGGAAGGCGGCAGCAAAGGAGATGCTGCCACGTGGCACCGCTGCTGCAGCTGATGCCGCTGGTGGTTCTGACGCCACCTCTCCTGGTGTCGTCAGCACTGCTGCTTCTGGTGGTGCTGCTACAGCTGCTACAGCTGGTGGGGTGGCAGCAGGTGGGGCAGGCGCGGAAATGGGCGGCACTGCCACAGCAGGCGCAGCTGAGGCGGATGTGGGGGCGGATGGGGGCAGGGGAAAGGGTGAGGAGCGCGAGGAGGAGGCAGCCAAGGGAGAGAGTGCGGTTGGAGCGGAAAAGAGAGCGGTGCAAAGCGGTGGTGGGGAGTTGGGGAAGGAAGGGGGGCTTACAGAAGAGGCAGTGCCTGCTGCTGCGAGCAACGGTGGGGTGAAGAGTGCAGGTAGCAGCGCTGCTGCTGCTGCTGCTGCGCCTGTGGGGAAACTCCCTGGGGAGGAAAATGGGGTGGCACGTGGCAGCCTGGGATTGGACAAGGCAGCGGCGGTGGAGGCAGATGAGGGAGAGGTGGAGCCAGCGCAGCTTGATGCAGTCCCAGCAGCTGCAGCAGCCTCAGGATCTGCATCAACTCCCAAATCTGGATCATCAGCATCAGCAGGAGCAGGAGCAGCTTCTGGAATGTCCAAGCCCAAAAAGTCCTCCCGCTGGGTCTCCGCATCCTTCTTCTCTGCGCTAGATGACACCTCCCCCGCCGCAGGTGCCACCTCCCCCTGGGCGTGGCTGCAGAGCGCCCTCCCCCGTGCGCTCGCCGCCTTCAGAAGGCACCTCCCCAAGGCCGTGGTGGCGTTTGTCGTTCTCCTGCTGGGGTGTGTGGCGCTGAACGCGCGCATGGAGAACCGGGCGGCGCAGAGAGGACAGCACGTGCCGCCCGTGACGATGGCGGTCATGGAGGTGGAGCAGAAGGCGGTGCGGCCGCTAGTGGCGGAGGTGCAGCGGGTGGGGATGAGGGTGAGGGAGATGGTGGAGAAAATGCCAAAACATGAGCCGAACGAGGAGGAGGCGTCGCTGTATGACGTGCTCTGGCTGCTGCTCGCCAGTGTCGTGTTCGTTCCAGCCTTTCAGAAGCTCCCGGGAGGTGAGTTGGGAGTGGTGGTGAGCGGTGGCGAGCTGGCCCCATGCTCATGAGACCCCGTCACTCCGCTTGCATCACTGAGTGCTCGCCCCTGTGCATTTCTCCCTCTCCGCTCTCTTCCTTCCTTCTCTCTCCCTCCTGCTCTCCCGTCATCACAGGCAGCCCCGTGCTGGGCTATCTAGCAGCAGGCGCCCTCATCGGCCCGTACGCGCTGTCAATCATCAAGCATGTGCACGGCACCAAGGCACTCGCAGAGTTTGGAGTGGTCTTCCTCATGTTCAACATCGGCCTCGAGGTAAGTGCCTCTCTCTTCTCCCTCTCTTCTCCCTCTCTTCTGCCTCTCTTCTCCCTCTCTTCTCCCTCTCTTCTCCCTCTCTTCTCCCTCTCTTCTCCCTCTCTTCTCCCTCTCTTCTCTCTCTCTTCTCCCTCTCTTCTCCCTCTCTTCTCCCTCTCTTCTCCCTCTCTTCTCCCTCTCTTCTCCCTCTCTTCTCCCTCTCTTCTCCCTCTCTTCTCCCTCTCTTCTCCCTCTCTTCTCCTCGCTTCTCTCGTCCCTCCTCTTCCTCTCTCCTCTCCTCTTTCTATCCCTCGTACAATCACTTCCGTCACGTACTTCTTATCCATCTCACCCCTCTCACCCTTCTTGCCCCTCCCTTGCCGTCCCCACCCCCCATCACCACCACAGCTGTCTCTGGAGCGACTCAACTCCATGCGCAAATACGTCTTCGGTCTTGGCTCTGCTCAGGTAGGCGTAGGCCAGCCGCCTGTTGAGGCGCCTTGGCTCCGCACAGTTAGGCCAGCCTCCCCTCCGCGTTGCTTTGGCTCGGCGCAGGTACCCCTCCCTCCGCTACAGCCCTAGAGCCCTATTGCTTTAGAAACCTCTCCAGTGGCAACCCTTGCTTGTTACCACCTTCCCTTGTTTGCTTTCCCAAAGCTGCTGGGATGGTAGCTGGCAGCCTTTGGTCCTGAAGCAAGCAGGGCCTCGAGTCGAAGCCGGTTTTCCATCTCCCCATGCTTCCCTTGTTGTCAGGTGCTGGTGACAGCGGTGGTGGTGGGAGTGAGTGTGGCGGCGCTAGCATCGGTGTCGGGCCCGGCTGCTCTCGTCATTGGCAGCGGCCTCGCGCTCTCTTCTACTGCCGTCGTGCTCCAGGTCAGTTCACCTCACCTTAAGGCGATATCGGCTCTCAGGTGATTTTCGCGCTTCAGGTGAATTCAACAGTGGATTCTCTGAATCATGATCCCACTTACCATCAGATTAACCATCCATCACATTCACAAGCACAACCCATCCTGTGATCACCCATCCCCTTCCCCATTTCCATCACCTTCACTCATTCCCTTCTCCATTCCCATCGCACAGCACGCACATACACTGCACCGCACGCCAATACACTGCACCGCACGCACATACACTGACCTCCCAAGCTGCAGCCCCTGAGCTCCAGTCCCGTGATAATAGCCACGTAATAAAAGTGTAATTCTGAGACGTCTCAAAATACACTTTTATCACCTGAGGGGGCATTTAGGCTGTAGGGGGCTGGCAGCACCTGAGGGGGCTGTTTGGCTGTAGGGGGCTGGCAGCACCTGAGGGGGCTGTTTGGCTGTAGGGGGCTGGCAGCACCTGAGGGGGCTGTTTGGCTGTAGGGGGCTGGCAGCACCTGAGGGGGCTGTTTGGCTGTAGGGGGCTGGCTAAACCTGAGGAGTTCCATCACTCCACCCTCGCTTTTGTCCCACCCATCATGTGACATGCGATCACCATCACCATCACCATCACCATCACCATCACCATCACCATCACCCCACCCTCGCTTTTGTCCCACCCATCACGGCAGGTGCTGCAAGAGAGAGGGGAGAGCACTTCTCGGCACGGCCGTGCAACCTTCTCAGTCCTTCTCTTCCAGGTGCCATCAGCTGCCCTTGAAGCTGCCATATGCTGTCTGTCTGTTATTGCTGTCTGTTGTCTGCTGACTGACTATCCCATCCAATTCTATCCAACCTCCTCTCCCCCCACCTCTCCCCTCTCTCTTCTCTTTCTCCCTTAATCTCCATTCCACGTGCCCCTTCCTCGCTGCCCACATCCCATTTCTTACGTCCATACAATACATCGCACCAGGATCTGGCGGTGGTGGTGTTGCTCATCCTCATCCCTCTCCTCGCTCCCTCCCCGACTTCTGCCGATGGGGTACGCCACGCCCTCCGCCCTCCCTCACCCTCACCTTCACCCTGTCATTCTGTAGCTCGCGCATTGCGAATGAAACTGACATGTTGTGATCACCACCTCATCAACGCCCATCTCTCATGTGGCAAATTCGTCCCAAGCGTTCGTCACTGTTCCTCCTTCATCTTCCAATCTCTTTCTTCCAACCTCCCCGCCCTTTCCCCACCAATGTCAGTCCGTGGGTCTGGCAGCCATTGCGAAGGCGCTGGGGCTGGCAGCAATGAAGCCTGTGGTCGCCCACACCCTGCTGACTCCCCCCAACCACACCTCCCTGCCCGCCCCTTCCACCCCGCCCCTTTCCCCCAATGTCAGTCCGTGGGGCTGGCAGCTATTGCGAAGGCGCTGGGGCTGGCAGCAATGAAGGCCGTGGTCGCCATTGCAGGCATCTTTGCGGGCGGCAGACTGGTGGGTGCTCTCTGGGCGGCAGACTGGTGGGTGCTCTCTGGGCGGCAGACTGGTGGGGTGTGGTTTTGCAGGACTGTTTGTGGTTGCTCGAAACAGCCGCCATTACATCACATGTCCTCCTCCCTGTCCTCGTCCTCCTTGCTCATGCCCCCCTCTGTCAAGCCTCCCTCTGTCCTCTCACTGTCTCCCATCCTACCTGCCCACTCTTTTCGTCCCTTTCATCCCGTCCGCCCCTCCCCCTCTACCAGCTGCTGCATCCCGTCCCATATACCGCAGCATGGCGGAGAATCACAATGCTGAGATCTTAAACCCCCCCATGCATGCACCCCCTCCCACCCCTTCTCACCCCCTCTCACCACTTCTCAACCAGTTGCTGCGGCCCATATACCGCAGCATGGCGGAGAATCACAACGCGGAGATCTTTGCCGCCAACACGCTGCTCGTCGTGCTCGGGACCTCTGTGCTCACTGCCCAGGTGGGTGTCTTGGAGCGCAGGTGGGTCGTTCGTTGGGGTTTTGAGCACATGACTGCACAGGTGGGTGCCTCACAACAACCGCCAACACGCTGCTCGTCGTGCTCGGCACCGTGCTCACTCCCCAGGTGGGTCCTCTTGCACTGCCTCACAGCTCACCGCCCAGGTGGGTGGGTCTCTAGTGTCTTACAGCGAGTTTTGAAGTGCCTCAGATCTCGTGCTCACCCCACGGGTGGGTCATACGCTCTCATGCACATGGCTGCACAGGTGGGAGCGTTCCTAGCAGGGCTGCTGCTAGCAGAGACAGAGTTTGCACTCCAGGTGGAGTCGGACATCAACCCCTCCCCCACTTCCCCTCCCCTCTCCCCCTTCCCCTCAACTCTCCCCACTCCTCCCTTCCCTTCCCCTTGACTCTCTCTGTGCAGGCGGGCCTATCAATGGCACTGGGTGCCTTCCTAGCAGGGCTGCTGCTGGCAGAGACGGAGTTTGCGCTTCAGATGGATTCGGACATCAACCCCTACCTCCCTTTTCCCCCTCCCTTCCCCTCCCCTCTCCCCACTCCTCCCTTCTGTTCCCCTTAATTCACTCTGTGCAGGCGGGCCTGTCAATGGCACTGGGAGCGTTCCTAGCAGGGCTGCTGCTGGCAGAGACGGAGTTTGCTCTGCAGGTGGAGAGCTGTCAGTGCAATGCATGTTATCATCATCTCCCCTCTCCTCCCCTCCCTTCCCCGTACCATTCTCTGTGCAGGCTGGGCTATCAATGGCGTTGGGAGCCTTCCTAGCAGGGCTGCTGCTAGCAGAGACAGAGTTTGCTCTGCAGGTGGAGTCAGATATCAACCCCTACCGCGGCCTGCTGCTCGGCCTCTTCTTCATGACTGTGAGTCGCCACTTTACCGTGAGCTATTGCTGTGATGGATAGTGGATGTGCAACGTGAAGGCAGAGGCACAAGCAAGACGGCAAGCAAGCAATTCGCCCTGCAGGTGGAGTCGGATATTAACCCCTACCGCGGGCTGCTGCTCGGGCTCTTCTTCATGACTGTGAGCCGATCATACATATGTGCAACGTGTATGCAGCATCTCAGTCGGCTCAGAGGCACAGGCACCAGCAAGGAGTTTGCACACAATACCGTGGGCTGCTGCTCAGCCTCTTCTTCATGACTGTGAGTCAATGCTATATGTAACGATGGTCGTCCCTCTGAGCCAGTCGTCCCTCAAACCCCCAAATGCTGTGTGTGCCTGTGAAACAACACCATCTCCCACCTTTCCTTCCCCCCCCAATTCCTCCCAGGTGGGCATGTCCGTAGCCCCCAAGCTCCTCATAGCGCGCCTCCCCCTCATCATCGGCAACATAGCCCTCGTCACTTTCTCCTCTTTCCCCTTTCCGCCTTTCCCCCCTCCTCCACCCTCCTAAATTCCTCCCAGGTGGGCATGTCCGTAGCCCCCAAGCTCCTCATAGCGCGCCTCCCCCTCATCATCGGCAACATAGCCCTCGTCACTTTCTCCTCTTTCCCCTTTCCGCCTTTCCCCCCTCCTCCACCCTCCTAAATTCCTCCCAGGTGGGCATGTCCGTAGCCCCCAAGCTCCTCATAGCGCGCCTCCCCCTCATCATCGGCAACATAGCCCTCGTCACTTTCTCCTCTTTCCCCTTTCCGCCTTTCCCCCCTCCTCCACCCTCCTAAATTCCTCCCAGGTGGGCATGTCCGTAGCCCCCAAGCTCCTCATAGCGCGCCTCCCCCTCATCATCGCATCAATAGCGGCGCTCATCATCGGCAAGACAGCCCTCATCACTCTCTCCTTTTTTCCCCTTTCCTCTTGCCCCCCCCCCCCCCCCCCCCCCCCCCTCCCCTTCCCCCCCTACCAGGTGGGAATGTCCATCGACCCCAAGCTCCTGATCGCTCGCTTCCCCCTCATTGTCGCGTCGATAGCGGCGCTCATTATTGGCAAGACGGCGCTAATCACGGCAATGGGTCGCCTCTTCGGTCTCTCCACCATTGCTGCTGTGCGCACCGGCTTGCTGCTGGCGCCTGGTGGGGAGTTCGCATTTGTTGCCTTCGGAGAGGCCGTGCAAAAGGTAAGTGGGAGGGAGGGGAGCATGACAAGGTTGAGGTAAGCGGCAGTAATGTTGGAGGGACAGCGCTCATAACAGCCATGGGGCGCTACTTCGGTCTCTCCACCATAGCTGCTGTGCGCACCGGCCTGCTATTGGCGCCTGGTGGGGAGTTCGCCTTCGTCGCTTTCGGGGAGGCCGTGCAAAAGGTACGAGAGAGAATCTATGCCATAGGTGGAAGGGGTGGGTGTTAATGCAAGTAAGGTTTACGGCAGTGGTGGTTGGAGAGACTTTGGCTATCATCGGCAAGACAGCCCTGATAACAGCCATGGGTCGCTTCTTCGGTCTCTCCACCATTGCTGCTGTGCGTTCCGGCCTCTTGTTGGCACCCGGAGGAGAGTTCGCCTTTGTTGCTTTCGGAGAAGCTGTGCAGAAGGTACGGATGAAAGGTTGTAGGGTAGTTGACAACGTGAGGTAAGCACCAGTGATGTTGGAGGGACAGCGCTCATAACGGCCATGGGGCGCTACTTCGGTCTCTCCATCATCGCTGCTGTGCACACCGGCCTGCTGCTCGCGCCTGGAGGGGAGTTCGCTTTCGTCGCCTTTGGCGAGGCCGTGCAAAAGGTACGGGGATGCTGTTGTGCTTCTCGTTTCTGTTCTTCTCTTCCTTGTTGTGGTGGTTCTTGCCATTCCCGTGGCTCACCTCTTCAGTTCTGGTTGAATCGTGTACTCCCTTCCCCAATGTCCTGCAACACTTGATCCCCCACTCTTCTGCATTTTGATCCCCTTCTCTTCATTTTCCGATCCCCATTTCCCACCCGCACCTCCCCACCATCAGGGCATCATGCCGGCGCAGCTCTCCTCGCTCCTCTTCCTCATAGTCAGAATCAGTATGGCCATCACGCCCTGGCTCGCCGGCTGTGGTTGATTCACACCCACACTCACAACACCCATTGCCTGTGAACTCCTACTTCCCCCACCCATCAGGGCATCATGCCGGCACAGCTCTCCTCTCTCCTCTTCCTCATAGTCGGCATCAGCATGGCCATCACGCCCTGGCTCGCCGGCTTTGGTCAGCTGCTGGCGGCTCGCTTCGACCAGCAGGATGTGAGGAGTCTGGAGCCGCAGGAGACAGAGACGGACGACCTGCAGGGGCACATCATCATCTGCGGCTTCGGGCGTGTGGGGCAGATCATCGGACAGCTGCTCTCAGAGCGCCTCATCCCCTTCGTTGCCCTCGACGTCCGCACGTAAGACTCGCCTCCTCTCAGGTTCTTGCTCTCTTGCTCTCTTCCTCTCTAAGAGACGGTAGGCTCATTCTCATCGTGTGGGGCAGATCATCGGACAGCTGCTCTCAGAGCGCCTCATCCCCTTCGTTGCCCTCGACGTCCGCACGTAAGACTCGCCTCCTTTCAGCCTCGTGCTCTCCTGCTCTCCTGCTCTCCTGCTCTGATTAGTCTCATGCGTTGTTTATTCTTTCTTCTTCGTTTCTACCAGCATGTAAGTAAGGTATATGTCAGTGTCAGTGTCTTGCCCCCCATCCACCCCTTAATTCACATACATGCAGTGAGAGAGTGAGTGCAGGGCAGGCCCTCGACCTGCCAGTCTATTTCGGCGATGCAGGCAGCAGAGACGTGCTGCACAAGGTGGGGGCGGAAGGGTGTGAAGCGAATGCAATTACCTGGGCGGAGTGGAGGCAAGCTCCTTGCTGGCTGGCACCTCACCTCAGCCCAGTGACTTATCCTCCCCTCCGCCCACCCCTTACATCACATACTTGCAGTGAGAGAGTCAGCGCAGGACAGGCCCTCGACCTGCGAGTCTAATTCGGCGACGCGGGCAGCAGGGATGTGCTGCACAAGGTGGGGGCGGAATGAAAGCACCTACCAGGGCGGAGTGGATGGAAGCTCCCTGCTGGCACCTCAACTCAGCGAATTCTCCTCCCTTCCACCCACCCCTTACATACCTGCAGTGAGAGAGTCAGTGCGGGTCAGGCCCTCGACCTGCCCGTGTATTTCGGCGACGCGGGCAGCCGGGACGTGCTGCACAAGGTGGGGGCGGAGCGGGCGGCGGCGGCCGTCATCACTCTCGACACGCCTGGGGCGAACTACCGTGCGGTGTGGGCGCTGACGCGCAACTTCCCACACATCAAGACGTTTGTGCGCGCACATGATGTCGACCATGGGATCAATTTGGAAAAGGCTGGTGCCACTGCGGTGAGTCTGAGGGTGATGGAGAAGGGGGGAGAATGGGCGAGGTGGAGAAGGGGCGAGGGGGGATGGATGGGGCCTGACTGCCATGCGGTGTGGGCGCTGACTCGCAACTTCCCGCACATCAAGACGTTTGTGTGCGCACATGACGTCGACCATGGGATTAATATCGAGAAGGCCGGCGCCACTGCGGTGAGTCTGGGGGTGATGGAGGGGGGAGCAAGGGGTGTGGGCGCTGACGCGCAGCTTCCCGCACATCAAGACGTTTGTGCGCGCACATGGTGTCGACCATGGGATCAACCTTGAGAAGGCCGGCGCCACTGCGGTGAGACGAGGGGGATGGGGTGGGAGAGGGGGGTGGGAAGGAAGAAGGGTGAGGGGAGAAGAAGAGTTTGTTCAAAAGTTGGGGGAAAGGGGGTGGACGGGTCGAGGGGAGGGTGTGTTGGAGATGGGGTCTGACTGTCTGTTATGCGGTGTGGGCGCTGACGCGCAACTTCCCACACATCAAGACGTTTGTGAGCGCACTTGACCATGGGATCAACCTCGAGAAGGCTGGAGCCACTGCGGTGAGTTCAGAAGGTTGGGGTGTGAGTCATGTTTGAGATGAAAAGGTGATGTGATTGTGCATACAAGCATGTTGTTAGATGAGATGACTCCTGATGGTCCTGCTGTTACCACTGTCACCCCCTCTCTTGTCCTTACCCTCCCCACTCACCCTCCGTCCTCCCTGCAACCCCTCTTGCTGATAATCCTTGTGCCTACTCCACTATCTCTCCTCCACCCTACCTGCGCCCACTGCTTGCGTCTGCCCCAGGTGGTGCCGGAGACACTAGAGCCCAGTCTGCAACTCGCGGCTGCCGTGCTTGCACAGGTGCGTAGGGGTGTGGGCAGAGCAGAGGGGCGGCTGTGCTACTGTGTGTGATGAGGCGAGTTTTGATTCGACTCAAAGGTCGCCTCATCACACTGACACTCTAGAACCCAGTCTGCAGCTCGCTGCCACCGTGCTCGCACAGGTGCGTACGGGGGTGGGCAGAGGGGCGGCTGTACTGCTTTGGAAGTTCTTGTCTTGTTGCCTGTCATATGAAACTGTGCTGCTGTTGCTTACATCCCCCCACCCCCTCGTCCCCCCATCCCCTTATCCCGTCATCCCCCCATTCTCTCATCCCCCCCATTCTCTCATCCCCCCATTCGCTCATCCCCCCATTCGCTCATCCCCCCATTCTCTTATCCCCTCATCCCCTCATCACCCCATTCTCTCATTCCCCTGTTCCCTCATTCCCCCATTCCTGCTATCCTCCTGCAACCCATGTGTGTGTGTGGCAGGCCAAGCTCCCGCCAGCGGAGATTGCTGCCACGCTGGACGACTTCAGAGTGCGACACCTGGCAGACCTGAACGAGGTGAGCTGGCGTTAGGGTCTGCCGCTGGGCATCATCTGTTACGTATGTATTTTTTACTACTACAGCTAGTAGCCATCCTCTTATTGTTTTTTTATTCACAAATTGCCACTCCTCCCTCTCCTTGTTACCTCTTGTGATATTCGATTTCTATGTTTTACCTGGCACTCTCCTTGCAGACGTCAATGGGGTTTGCTTCATCTTAGTCGCAAGGGTACTGCATTTCTACGTTTTACCTGTCATCTTTAACCCTGAGTTACACTGCCTTGCTTCTGACCGTGGATGTATTTCCTTTGGTCGGGGTTGCCATACTCCTTTGTTCGATAACTTTCTTGGGAAATCAGCTATGAGAGCCTGCAGTTTTGTTCCAGAAGCCCATTCTCGGCGCATTATGAGGGGAAACTAGTTGTTAAGGTGGGGCAGCTTCGGCCGGCTAACATTTAAATAGATGTGAAAATGTATACTTTTGTAGTACGCTTGAGGGGTGTAATACATTACTCATGTTTCCAATGGGCTTGTACTTTGGACTAGGAGGTGTACCACTAGCGTGAATGATGGGAAAGCTTGCTGAATCCACGTATTCCCTACATCTGAAGGACGATGTCGAGGGTTACGTTTCGCTACTCTATGCGAAAATCGTGTGCGCGTCAGCCGAACGTCGCCATCCGTCCCGTCACCACGTCCCCGTTCTCGCAATTTTCGCGTCGCAACATCTATCCATGAGCCAGCACGCGGTTCAGGATGCGATGGGCCAACAGACACTGATACGCGACGCGCTATGTGTACTTCCGGCGTGTCCAACGTGAAGGAAATATCTTCAGTGCAATGTATAAATTTCACTTGAAATTCAGTTCTGCATCAACATTCGAACCACCAGCGATACCACCAAGTACAACACACTTGCCAAAGCACATTCAACAGTTCTTGAAGCATGGCAAGCGCATTTAGCGCCTTTCAAGGTGTATTCATCTCCGCTGCTTGCTTCTTGCTGCTGGGCTTGCCAGCCATCAGCTATGCAGATTGGACCAACCATGGCGGCGACTTGCTCAACCGCAGGTGGGCGGACTCGGAGCGGCTCATCTCGCCAGCCACCGTCTCCCAGCTCGCGCTCGCCTGGGAGGTGGAAACCCACCGGTGACGTGGGCGCAACGCCGGCTGTCGTCGGCAATTTCGTCTACTTCTGCGACCACGCGGGGGGCTTGTACGCCGTGAAGCGCAGCTCGGGGGAGGTTGTGTGGAGGAAGCAGATTGGAACGGATTACGGCGTGCCCAACAACTATCAAGGCCGAGCGCCCTACTGTCGGTCCACTCCAACCGTTGTAAAAGGCCCCGGAAACCCGTCCAACCTACTCATTATTGGGGTTTTCAATCCCGCGTTCGTGCTGGCTGTTCGACGATCCGACGGCGAGCTGGTGTGGAAGACGCTCGTCGACCCGCATCCCTCGGCTCTGATAACTGCTTCAGGCACCGTCTACCGCGGTGCTTACATCAACGGAGTATCGTCTGCCGAGGAGATATTCGCGGCGAATCCTAATTACCCCTGCTGCACGTTCATCGGGAGTGTAGTTAAGCTCGACGTGGCGACTGGGCAGAAGATATGGCAGACGTACAGCCTTCCCGCGAATGGCGGCAATTCGAGTCTCTACGCCGGCGGTGCGATCTGGGGCGGCTCTCCATCCATCGACGAAAAGCGACAGCTCGTTTTCGTCGCGACGGGTAACAACTATCGCGTGCCTCCGAGCGTGTCGGAGTGCCAGCAGCAGCAGCTGGAGACGGAGGGCCGGCCGGTGTTCCCCGATCCGTGCATCGAAGAAGGGAACTACTTCGACTCAGTCCTTGCCCTCGATATTGCCTACAGTGGCTTGTGTGTTCGGAACATCGCAGCCCAACTGCCCCCCCAACCCCGGAAACGATTACGATTTCGGCATGGCGCCGCTTCTCCTGTCAATCACCGAGTCGGGGAACGGCACGAAATGCGCTGGCGGGACGACCGAGCGTGATATTGCTGTGATTGGGCAGAAGTCGGGGATCATCTGGGCCCTTGATCGCAGCGACGGACAGATCGTGTGGTCCACAGCAGCTGGGCCAGGAGGCTCCCTGGGCGGCTCATCTTGGGGCATTGCTTCCGACCTCCGCCGCGTTTACATAAGCAACGAGAACAACGAGTTCACGAATTTCACTCTGCTGCCGTCCGGCGCGACCACCACCCACAGCGCCTGGGCTGCTCTGAATCCTGCGACGGGTGCGGTGCTTTGGTCGCGGGAGAACCCCAACTTCCCCTCGCTCGCCATGCTGCCTTCCGTCGCGAACGGCGTCGTGTTCGGAACGACTTTGGACGCCGCTGGTCACGTGTACGCGTTTGACGCTGCCTCGGGTAACGTTCTGTGGTCCTTCTCTCCTGGTACCTCTGTGCACGGCGGCGTGTCGATTGACCGTGGCTGTATTTTCTTCGGCCGCGGCTACCTTTCCGCCTTCATTCCCTATGCTACTGGAGGCGGGCCTCAGCGCGTCTACGCTTTCTGCGTCCCAGGTGGAAACTAGCGCGCACTCTGGCGGGAAGGTTTGCTGAGGAGGAAGGATCGATGGTAGGAGTGAATTTTGTGAAGGCGGTGGAAAGCGAAATCTAGCGTGTTTGCTTATTAGCTGGAGGTGATCTTGTTGTGGAGTCGAGTCGAGTATTGTGGTGGAGGCAGGGGCGGAGGAGCTGAATAATTTAAAATTTGAAATTCGAAGTCTCGATGGAAGCGGGCGCATGAAAGTGGAAGAACTCTGGCGGGAAATACGTAATTCTGGTGTGGGTGTATTTGTGCTGCGAATGATCTCAGCACAATCATTTGAGGTACAATTCCTTCATGGATACATCTGATCTTATCTGACACCAGCACAACCTGCACTCTGAACCCAAGGCCTAACAAGTAACAAATTGAACTGACAGAATCAATCAAGGCATTAAACACATAATATAGGTGAGCTCAGCGGGGATGAACTCTATTTTCGATCGCACTATGCTCAGCATGGGAGGCTCTAGACGTCATGCTATCCGTGGCTGAAATCCTCAACCCCACAGCCTCTTCAGAATCCCTTCCCTCCACTTGCTTACCCAAGAGACTGCCACTTTCATGCCCACTAACCGCCCCACTCTTGTCTGTGCTTTCCGTGCTTGCGAACCCACTTACGCCTCCGAAGCCTTCCATACCAACACTGTCCACATCCTCGCTAACGAGTGCTCTCATTACAGGCTCAACGGGGGCAGCCTCCCTCTCACCTTTACCAGTACAGTACTTCTGAATCATATCGTCGATTCGGTGTGCTACAGCCTTCATGTCCGGGCGGCGTGTGCACGGCATTTTCACGCAGTCCAACGCAATGTCTGCAAACTCCACTATGGCGTCCTCTGGAACCTCCATTGAGGGGTCTTTCAGCAGGTCTAGCTCGTAATCCGCCACCCGTTGAGCCGCCTGGTGGTGGGGAGGGGATGCATCAGGTAGCGCACGGCATTTTAAGGCACTCGAGTGCAACGTCTGCAAACTCCACTATAGCGTCCTCTGGAACCTCCATTGAAGGGTCTTTGAGCAGGTCTAGCTCGTAATCCGCCACCCGTTGTGCCGCCTGGTGGTGGGGAGGGAATGAAGGTAGTGCAGGTTCTCAATCACTGCAACAGGTGCAGCTAGTTTGAACTTTACAGTTGGAACAGAGGAGCTCGCAGAGGAGAGGGCATGGAGAGCCTAGGAATCACTGCACCAGTGTGGAGCAGAGGCAGAGAAAGTGAGAGGGCACTCACCCACGTGGCGATGTGGTAGTCTTCTTCGCTCATCACTGCCGGCCGCCCTGTCAGCATCTCCAGCAGCACCACTCCAAAGCTGCTCGGGAGGTAGGGCCACAGGGGGCACAGCAGACAGGGAGGGGCCATGGTACGGCAAAGGTTGGAGTCTGGGGGCAGTCCGGATAAAAAGAATCTGACATTTTTTAAGGCGCCCAGCCTTTCCACATCAACTACCCACCTGTAGACATCAGTCTTGGGAGAAACCACCCGTGCATGATTGTAGTCCCGGTCCACATACCCCGGCGTGCCTGCAATCCTTGTTAGTCACACCCCTGTGTGACCTGCTTGAGCAGCCCAAAGCCTTTCCGAGGCATCTGAATGATCTCCATCCATCCACCCACCCACCTGTAAACGTCGGTCTTGGGGGACACCACCCGTGTGCGGTTGTAGTCCGGGTCCACATACCCCGGCGGACCAAGGCGCGCGCGCGGACCAAGGCGCGCGCGCGGACCAAGGCACGCCCGCCCGGACCAAGGCGCGCCCGCCCGGACCAAGGCGCGCCCGCCCGGACCAAGGCGCGCGCGCCCGGACCAAGGCGCGCGCGCCCGGACCAAGGCGCGCGCGCCCGGACCAAGGCGCGCGCGCCCGGACCAAGGCGCGCGCGCCCGGACCAAGGCGCGCGCGCCCGGACCAAGGCGCGCGCGCCCGGACCAAGGCGCGCGCGACCGGACCAAGGCGCGCGCGCCCGGACCAAGGCGCGCGCGCCCGGACCAAGGCGCGCGCGCCCGGACCAAGGCTGCGCGCGCCCGGACCAAGGCGCGCGCGCCGGACCAAGGCGCGCGCGCCCGGACCAAGGCGCGCGCGCCGGACCAAGGCGCGCGCGCCGGACCAAGGCGCGCGCGCGCGGACCAAGGCGCGCGCGCGCGGACCAAGGCGCGCGCGCGCGGACCAAGGCTGCGCGCGCGCGGACCAAGGCGCGCGCGCGCGGACCAAGGCGCGCGCGCGCGGACCAAGGCGCGCGCGCCCGGACCAAGGCGCGCGCGCCCGGACCAAGGCGCGCGCGCCCGGACCAAGGCGCGCGCGACCGGACCAAGGCGCGCGCCCCCGGACGAAGGCGCGCGCGCCCGGACCAAGGCGCGCGCGCCCGGACCAAAAAGCGCTCGACCCGGACCAAAAGGCGTGCGCCCGGACCAAGGCGCGCGCGCCCGGACCAAGGCGCGCGCGCGCGGACCAAGGCGCGCGCGCGCGGACCAAGGCGCGCGCGCGCGGACCAAGGCGCGCGCGCGCGGACCAAGGCGCGCGCGCGCGGACCAAGGCTGCGCGCGCGCGGACCAAGGCGCGCGCGCGCGGACCAAGGCGCGCGCGCGCGGACCAAGGCGCGCGCGCGCGGACCAAGGCGCGCGCGCGCGGACCAAGGCGCGCGCGCGCGGACCAAGGCGCGCGCGCGCGGACCAAGGCGCGCGCGCGCGGACCAAGGCGCGCGCGCGCGGACCAAGGCGCGCGCGCCCGGACCAAGGCGCGCGCGCCCGGACCAAGGCGCGCGCCCCCGGACCAAGGCGCGCGCGCCCGGACCAAGGCGCGGGCGCCCGGACCAAGGCGCGGGCGCCCGGACCAAGGCGCGCGCGCCCGGACCAAGGCGCGCGCCGCCCGGACCAAGGCGCGCGCGACCGGACCAAGGCGCGCGCGCCCGGACCAAGGCGCGCGCGCCCGGACCAAGGCGCGCGCGCCCGGACCAAGGCGCGCGCCCGGACCAAGGCGCGCGCGCGCGGACCAAGGCGCGCGCGCGCGCGCGGACCAAGGCGCGCGCGCGCGGACCAAGGCGCGCGCCCCCGGCGAAGGCGCGCGCCCCCGGCGAAGGCGCGCGCGCCCGGACCAAGGCGCGCGCGCCCGGACCAAGGCGCGCGCGCCCGGACCAAGGCGCGAGCGCCCAGACCAAGGCGCGCGCGCGCGGACCAAAAACGCGCGACCGGACCAAAAGCGCGCGACCGGACCAAGGCGCGCGCGCCCGGACCAAGGCGCGCGCGCCCGCACCAAGGCGCGCGCGCCCGGACCAAGGCGCGCGCCCCCGGACCAAGGCGCGCGCGCCCGGACCAAGGCGCGCGCGCCCGGACCAAGGCGCGCGCCCCCGGACCAAGGCGCGCGCGCCCGGACCAAGGCGCGGGCGCCCGGACCAAGTCGCGGGTGCCCGGACCAAGGCGCGCGCGCCCGGACCAAGGCGCGCGTGCGCGGACCAAGGCGCGCGCGCGCAGACCAAGGCGCGCGCGCCCGGACCAAGGCGCGCGCGCCCGGACCAAGGCGCGCGCGCGCGGACCAAAAAGCGCTCGACCGGACCAAAAAGCGCGCGCCCGGACCAAGGCGCGCGCGCGCGGACCAAGGCGCCCGCGCCCTGACCAAGGCGCGCGCGCCCTGACCAAGGCGCGCGCGCCCGGACCAAGGCGCGCGCGCCCGGACCAAGGCGCGCGCGCCCGGACCAGCGCGCGCGCGCCCGGACCAAGGCGCGCGCGCCCGGACCAAGGCGCGCGCGCCCGGACCAAGGCGCGCGTGCGGACCAAGGCGCGCGCGCGCGGACCAAGGCGCGCGCGCGCGGACCAAGGCGCGCGCGCGCGGACCAAGGCGCGCGCGCGCGGACCAAGGCGCGCGCGCCCGGACCAACGCGCGCGCGCCCGGATCAAGGCGCGCGCGCCCGGACCAAGGCGCGCGCCCGGACCAAGGCGCGCGCCCGGACCAAGGCGCGCGCCCCCGGACCAAGGCGCGCGCGCCCGGACCAAGGCGCGGGCGCCCGAACCAAGGCGCGCGCGTCCAGACCAAGGCGCGCGCGCCCGGACCAAGGCGCGCGCGCGCGGACCAAGGCGCGCGCGCGGACCAAGGCGCGCGCGCCCGGACCAAGGCGCGCGCGCGCGGACCAAGGCACGCGCGCCCGGACCAAGGCGCGCGCGCGCGCGGACCAAGGCGCGCGCGCGCGGACCAAGGCGCGCGCGCGCGGACCAAGGCGCGCGCGCCCGGACCAAGGCGCGCGCGCCCGGACCAAGGCGCGCGCGCCCGGACCAAGGCGCGGCGCCCGGACCAAGGCGCGGGCGCCCGGACCAAGGCGCGGGCGCCCGGACCAAGGCGCGGGCGCGCCCGGACCAAGGCGCGCGCTCGCCCGTACCAAGGCGCGCGCGCGCCCGGACCAAGGCGCGCGCGCCCCTGGACCAAGGCGCGCGCGCCCGGACCAAGGCGCCCGCGCCCCTGGACCAAGGCGCGCGCCCCTGGACCAAGGCGCGCGCGCCCGGACCAAGGCGCGCGCGCCCGGACCACGGCGCGCGCGCGCGGACCAAGGCGCGCGCGCCCGGACCAAGGCGCGCGTGCGCCCGGACCAAGGCGCGCGCGCCCGGACCAAGGCGCGCGCGCCCGGACCAAGGCGCGCGCGCCCGGACCAAGGCGCGGGCGGCCGGACCAAGGCGCGCGCGCCCGGACCTAGGCGCGCGTGCCCGGACCAAGGCGTGCGCGCCCGGACCAAGGCGCGCGCGCGCGGACCAAGGCGCGCGCGCGCGGACCAAGGCGCGCGCGCGCGGACCAAGGCGCGCGCGCGCGGACCAAGGCGCGCGCGCCCGGACCAAGGCGCGCGTGCCCCCGGACCAAGGCGCGCGCGCCCCCGGACCAAGGCGCGCGCGCGCCCGGACCAAGGCGCGCGCGCGCCCGGACCAAGGCGCGCGCGCGCCCGGACCAAGGCGCGCGCGCGCCCGGACCAAGGCGCGCGCGCCCGGACCAAGGCGCGCGCGCCCGGACCAAGGCGCGCGCGCGCGCTCGGACCAAAACGCGCGCGCGGACCAAGGCGCTCGCGCCCGGACCAAGGCGCGCGCGCCCGGACCAAGGCGCGCGCGCCCGGACCAAGGCGCGCGCGCGCCCGGACCAAGGTGCGCGCGCCCCTGGACCAAGGCGCGCGCGCCCCTGGACCAAGGCGCGCGCGCCCGGACCAAGGCGCGCGCGCCCGGACCAAGGCGCGCGCGCCCCGACCAAGGCGCGCGCGCCCCGACCAAGGCGCGCGCGCCCGGACCAAGGCGCGCGGGCCCGGACCAAGGCGCGCGCGCCCCTGGACCAAGGCGCGCGCGCCCGGATCAAGGCGCGCGCGCCCGGACCAAGGCGCGCGCGCCCGGACCAAGGCGCCCGCGCCTGGACCAAGGCGAGTGCTTGGACCCTCATTAATCATACCCCTGTGTGACCTGCTTGAGCAGCCCAAAGCCTTTCCGAGGCATCTGAATGATCTCCATCCATCCACCCACCCACCTGTAAACGTCGGTCTTGTTCCAAGGCGCGCGCGTGGACCAAGGCGCGCGCGTGGACCAGGGCGCGCGCGTGGACCAAGGCGCGCGCGTGGACCAAGGCGCGCGCGTGGACCAAGGCGCGCGCGTGGACCAAGGCGCGCGCGTGGACCAAGGCGCGCGCGTGGACCAAGGCGCGCGCGTGGACCAAGGCGCGCGCGTGGACCAAGGCGCGCGCGTGGACCAAGGCGCGCGCGTGGACCAAGGCGCGCGCGTGGACCAAGGCGCGCGCGTGGACCAAGGCGCGCGCGTGGACCAAGGCGCGCCCGTGGACCAAGGCGCGCCCGTGGACCAAGGCGCGCGCGGACCAAGGCGCTGTCAGAATGTTGTATTTGTGTAGCCTGCAGTGGGGTACTCCATAGCGAGTACAGCCCAATCTAGGGTTTTCTATATGTACTCAACTGCTTGCTAGTGCAACTCTCTTTCTTGTTCTAAACTTTCTGCTCATACTTTTGACAGGCGCGCGCGTGGACCAAGGCGCGCGCGTGGACCAAGGCGCGCGCGTGGACCAAGGCGCGTGCTTGGACCCTCATTAATCATACCCCTGTTTTACCTGCTTGAGCAGCCCAAAGTCTTTCCGAGGCATCTGAATAATTTCCATCCACCCACCCACTCACCCATCCACCCACCCACCTGTAGACATCAGTCTTGGGCGAAACCACCCGTGTGCGTTGTAGTCCGGGTCCACATACCCCGGCGTGCCTGCGATCCTCGTGGCACCGCCCTCCCCATCCCCCTCAGTGAGCTGCTTGAGCAGCCCAAAGTCAGCGAGCTTGGCGGCCAGCGAGTCAGTGACGAGGATGTTGGCGGGCTTCACATTGCGGTGCACGATGGGCGTGCTGAAGCTGTGCAGGTAGGAGAGGCCCTCTGCCGCCCCGAGTGCTATTTTTAAACGCTGGTGAAAGGTGAGGGGACCTGGAGAGGGGAATGAGTGGGGAGAATAGGGAGGAAATAATGGGCCGTCCCCCTCAGTGAGTTGCTTGGCGGCCAACGAGTCGGTGACGAGGATGTTGGCGGGCTTCACGTCGCGGTGCACAATGGGCGTGCTGAAGCTGTGCAGATAGGATAGCCCTTCTGCTGCTCCCAGAGCGATTTTGAGCCGTTGGTGGAAGGTGAGGGGGCCTGCAGGGGGGGTTGGGGGGGTGCGGTTTGGTGTGAGAGGAAAATGAAGGAGCAATCTGTACGGACCACAAGGCACCATGAGCGTTATGAAGCTGTGAGGATGGTGCTTGCGATCCCCATTCGTCCACATTCATACACCAGCATGTTCGGATATGTTGAAGTGTCCATCGGCACCAGGAACCGATGGACACTTCAACATACCCCACGCCAAGTGTGAGTGCCTACGGTTCCTGGTGCCGAGTATGTTCGGATATGTTGAAGTGTCCATCGTAGGCACACACACTTGGCGTGGTGGATGTGCTGTTTCAGGTCGCCATTGCCCACATACTCATACATCAACACCTGCTTCCAACCCTGCACTGTCTAAGCACAGGCAATGTTCCAATACACCCAGGCTACAGAGGGACGTTCAGCACTCACACTTGGCGTGGTGGATGTGGTGCTTCAGGTCGCCATCCCCCACATACTCATACACCAGCACCTGCTCCTTCATGCCGCTCTCCACGCACACGCTATGTACATGGGAGCGAGATGCTACCATGCATGCAGCACTTGGCTCGACACAGTGTTCAGTTACATGTCTCCGCGGTACTAGGCACTCACACTTGGCGTGGTGGATGTGCTGTTTCAGGTCCCCATTCCCCACATACTCGTACACCAGCACCTGCTCCTGCCGCCCGCTCTCCACGTGCATGTCCACACAGAACCCCAGCAGCCGCACCAGGTTCTCATGGCGTAGCGTTGCCATGGCTCGCACCTGTGTATGGACAGCAGAGTATGGGAGGAGGAAGAGAACACGGATGTCACCAGCAGCTGCACCAGTTTCTCTTGGCGCTATGTTCCATGGCCCGCACATGTGCATAACTGCTTCACAGCCCACATTCACCCCCTTGACCTGCAAACTGCACTATCAACCACTGCTCACCACTGCCCACAAACTGTTCCCCACTGCCCCATTGAACTACATGCTCGCTTGCTTCAGACCAGCTATTGCTGCCTCCCCATCAATGCACGCACCTCTTTTTCAAAGTCATTGGTCATCACTCTACATCGCTTCACGGCCCACATCTCCCCTTGGGGCGACACCCCCAGGTAAACTGTCGCAAATCCCCTCTCTAACATGCCTCTCCTTCCTCCCCACCCACCCACCCACGCACCTCCTTTTCAAAGTCGTTGGTCATCACTCTGCATCGTTTCACGGCCCACATCTCCCCTTGCGGCGACACTCCCAGGTACACCGTTGCAAAGCCGCCCCGCCCCAGCTGGTTTGCCTCGGCCCAGTTGTCGGTGGCTTGCACTAGCTGCTGCAGGGAGAACTCGTGACACACGTCTAAGTCGCCCCACTTGCCTGGTGGAACAGGGGAAAAGAGGAGCGAGGAATGGGGGTTGAAACGGTGGTGGGGGGTGGGGTATAGAGTTCGTTCGATTATTATTGCTGAGAGTTACTTCACTGCACCATTAGTCAGGAGCAGGCAAGCCTGAGGTGCGTTGAAATCACTCTCGCGAGAATTCTGACAGTTGAGGGGTTTGAGAGTGACTCACGGCGGCGTTTGGGGAGGAGAAACCACACGAGGATGGCTGCTAGAAGAGCAAGCCCGAAGAAGCAGCCCAGGGCGATGCCTGCCACTGCTGCTGGTGATAGGCCTGGTGAAGGGGAGAAAGAGGAGGAGGGGAGGAAGAGGGGGGGAGAGGAGAGGGGAGGAGGAGGGGAGGATTGCTTCTGAGGCGCCTCAAAAGAAGCAGGCCAGTGCGATGCCCGTCATTTCAGCTGGTGGTAGGCCTGGTGGAGGAGAGAAAGAGGAGGAGGGGTGAAGGAGGGGGACGTTGGGGCGCCTTAAATGAGGCAGGCAAATGCGATGCCCGTGCGGGCTTTCCCCGTTCGGGCTTTCCCTGCGCGGGCTCGCAGCTGGTGATAGGCCTGGTGGTGGGAGGGAGAATAAGAAGAGAGGAGTAGAAGACGAGAGGAAAGAAGTTGCTGCAAGCGCTGCATGGTGGCAACCACATGGTGTTGCAGGAGGCACTGTGTGGTGGTGGCAAAGATATCTCCCTCACGTGGAGCTGGTGCTGGTGTGGGGAAGAAACCTTTGAGGCGCCTCAAAAATCAGGAGGCACTGTGTGGTGGTGGCAAAGATATCTCCCTCACGTGGAGCTGGTGCTGGTGTGGGGAGGAGACCCACCCACCTGGACCAGGAACCGTGGTGGTGGTGAGAATGACGCAAGTGGACCCATTACCACTGTCAAACGCACTGTACCCCGCGTCACACTCGCACGAGAAGTTGGATGTAGAACCCTGGGAGGAGTCGGGGCCCTGGGGCGGCGGCACACAGGCGCCGTGGCCGTTGCAGGGGCCGTTATCCGTGATGCTGCAGAACGCCCTGCATGCTGCTGGCGTGCGCTGGGAGAACGCGAGTGAGAGGGAGGCAGAGGAGGAGGAGGAGAAAGAGGAGGAGGAGGATGAAATGGAGGAGTTGGGTGGGGTGGTGGGGTTGGAGTAGGGAGTGGCGGGGCAGGAGAGGGGGGCGGTGGGCTGGAAGCAGTTGTTTGCCAGGCTAGCTTGCCCCTGCTGGTACTGCTGTGCCACCACCAGTGGCGCTCTGCGATGTAGTGAAGCAGTTGGAAGGGGAGAGTGGGACGAAGGAAAGTTTCTTGGAGCTCGAGTTGATTCTTGAAAACAGTTGGTTCTTAGGAATTCTAGAAAATCCACGAGAGAGGGAGGGAGGGAAGGAAGGAGGGCGAGAGGGATCTGGGGTGGTGGGATGAAGAAGGGGTATGATGACTCAGAAAATACCCGACCCAAAAGCCTCCACCACACGAAACACCCACCCACCTGCCAGCCTCTGACTGCACAGCGCAGTTCCCCCCAGCTTGGACACTCAAATCCCCTGACACTCATGGAGATCGCAGCTCCATGAAACTCTCCCCTGCGATCTCCGACGGGCAGAACTGGCAGCCACTGGCAAAGAGCACTGGAAGAAACCAGAGGAAACCCCCACCCACCTGCCGGCCTCTGACTCGACAACGCAGTTCCCCCCCGCCTGGACACTCAGATCCCCTGGCTCCACCACGCTCTCCCCCGCGATCTCCGACGGGCAGAACTGGCAGCCGCTGGCGAAGAGCACGGGGTCGCCGTAGAAGAAGTTGTGGGCGAGGTTGAGGAGGGCCCCTGCAGTCGGCACTATGCCCTCAAAGTTGCGGTTGATTCGCCCGTAGAAGCTGTTGTGACTCACGTCGCTGTATGGGGCGGTGAGGGGGTTGGTTATGGTTGAAATTGACTGGGGCAAACCAGCAATTTGGGGAAGGGGGGAAATCGTTCTTGGGGAAATCAAACAGGGGCTCACAGAACAAGTCGGGGGATGAGGGGGCGTTTTTTCAAGCGCCTCAGAAACGGGCTCACAGAACAAGATGGGGGGTGAGGGAAGCGAACGGACAGTTTGTTGAGGCAGCGGAAGGAATTGAAGAGGCAGTCAGGGATGTGGCCGTAGAAGCTGTTGCTGCTCAGGTAGCTGCGAGGTGGGGGGCACAGAATGAGTGATGGCAAAGGGAATGAGTGAGGGCAATGGGAATTATAGCGAAAGTGAACCGATGATAGCGGCACATGGAGCGCAGAAAGAGCAGGTGGGTGGGTGGAAGGGGGGTGAAAGAGTGAACGATCGCAGTAATGACTTACAGAATCTCTAAACGGGAGAGGTTACAGAAAGAGGACGGAAGCTTCCCTGTGAGATTGTTGCGACTCAACCAGCTGTAGTCAGCAGCACGATTGTAACATGCACAACGGACGGCGTGACTATGACATGACAACTGGCCCGTTTGACTCAATACAGTCACGGGAGCATATAACGAACCGAATGATAGTAAAGAACTTCAATACAACGAACGAGGGTAAAGAGTTTCAGCAAATCGGGTGCACAACTCACAGGTGGCGCAAGGATGAGAGCTGGCCTAGATTCTCTGGGAGAGAGTCCTGAATGCTATTGTGCGCCAACAACCTGGTGCCCAGGGTCCGCGGCGGGTAGAGGGGCGAGGGAAACGCTGAGTGAGAACGGGGAGTGAAACATGGTGCAGGGATATGGTGCAGGTATATGGTGCAGAAAGCTGGACAGTGAGGGAGAGGAGCAAGCCATAGGTGGTGGCACAATGGGCGACCATCGTGGGTGACCTTATGGCGAACGTCCTGTGCGTGCGTTCTATGGCTTTTCCATGTACCTCGGGGGTGGGCTCACAGGGACTCAAGGGAGGTTACGGAGAGCAGGCTGGTTGGGAAGGGCCCATCCAACTGGTTGCTGTGCAGGCTACTGCACATGCCACAGCAGAAGCCGCACCACAAGCCACAAGACGTGTAGAAAGACTTTCAAACAGCATGCCACAAGTGTCAAGTCTAACATGCCAACGAATCTACGAAAGCGCGCGCGCGCAAGCACACACACACACACACACACACACACACACACACACACACACACACACACACACAAACCATGACTCCAAGTCAGATGCAGGAGCAGCGAGTGGGAGAGAAGTAGGGGGCGACTGACAGGATAAGGAGCGAGGTGAGGGTGGAGATGGAGGCAGGGATATGGCCGGAGAGATTGTTGCCTGCCAGGAACCTGATGGTTAGGGCACGGAGGTAGCATTTGTTTTGCGAGCATCACTTGGGAGGCCTAAGCAAAGCGTTCAAGTGAAAGGACATTCGCAGTCTCACAGGGCCACCCCCTCACACACGCACAGCAGCGAGCATACAGTGCACAGAGGGGTCTATTTTTCAGGCGCCGACCACCCACACGCACAGCAGTGACCATACAGTGCAATGAGAGACGTGTTCCAGCGAGAGAAGTCAGGCAGATACCCTGCAAGACCGTTGCCCTCCAGATGCCTGCAGTGCAGAGGTGTGCAGGTATGGAGGCAGGGGACAGGCTGGGGGGCCTCAGGTTATACATTGGAGGTGCAGCAGTGCAGCGGTGCAGAGGTATATGGGAGAGACAGTGCAGAGGGGTTTGCCTTGAGTGAACACGTCTGCGTGCCCAGCTGCCTTGAGTGCAATGAGCCAGAATGTTTGTGCAATCAGCTGCCTACGGCGTACAGTTGTTCCAGGGAGGCCGAGGTTTGAAGGGCGGAGGGCAGGCCGCCAGACAGCTGGTTGTGTGACGCCATGCTGAACACACACACGCACACACACAGGTTGCATAATCAAGGCAGAATCTCAGAGCATCAAGCGACCGCGTGCAATCAAAAATGGAAACAACGCGTTTTTCTTGGAGAACAAATATTGCTCATGCTATGTCATGGTTTTACGATAATGACTGCTGGAAGAAGGCTTGGGAGGGAGTAGAGGCTCACAGGGTCCTGAGAGCTGTGAGGGAGAAGAGAGCGTCTGGGATGCTGCCGTGGAAGCGGTTGCCACTCACGTCCCTGCATGCCGAGCAGCAGAGCACAGCAGAGGAGAGCAGTGCAGCAGAGTCCGAAGAGCCAGCAGAGACAGCAGGGATGAAGGTGCTTCTTTCCAAGCGACCCTTCGACTTTGGAGCAGGGGCGTGAGCATGCTAGTGGTTTCAAGTAGAAGGGCGGGAGCGTGATGGGTGTGGGAAGAGCATGGGGGATTAACAGGGTCATAAATGTACATAGTTACTGCCTAAGGACTTGACGCACTGCTTGCTGAAACATGGGAAGATGGTCTTACAGGTCGTTGAGGTTAACCAGGGCAGACACTCCCTGTGGAATCGAACTTGAAAATCCATTGCCCTGCAAGCCACTGAGGAAGGGACAAGAGGAGGAACAAGGCTGAGAAGCTTTGATGTGCTGTGAGGCCGGGGAACAAAGTACTTGCTAGTTGGGGTTGCACGGAACACAGCATGGCGAGACGATTGCAGACCAGCAGGCGAGCGCATAAAATTAGCATGGGAAAGCCAGCCTTGAGACCACATCAGCACTGCCACATTAGTAGCACTGCCACATCAGCACTGCCACATCAGCATGGACACGCCAGCATGGCCATATCAGCATGGGATGACGTACAGGGCGTTGAGGTTGGTGAGGGCGAGGACAACAGAGGGGAAACTTCCTGAGAACCGGTTCTCTCCCAACTCGCTGGTGGGGAGAGAATGAAGAAGCCAGCAGAAGGGGGTGTGTGTGATGTGACGAGTCAATCTCTAAGGCGCTTCACGAATGTAGGGGGCATAGACAGGGGGAATGGTGGCGTGGGGGAGAAAAAGGGGAAGCGCGGAAGCGGAAAGGGAAGGGGGAGCGGTGGGAAGGCAGTGAGGGTTTTGAGCGGTGAGAGGGGCAGTGCTCACAGGAACTGGAGGGCGGTGAGCGATGAGAACAAGGCAGGCACAGTCCCTGAGAAGTTGTTGCTCTTCAAGTTCCTGCCATGCGTGCATGTGGGCAAAGGCTAGTAAGGGAGTGCCATGGGGTGGGGCGAAGCTTGACAAGGGCTGAGTGAGGTGACCTTACAACTTTGGGCGATGATGGAGAGTGACAAAGGGGAGCCGAGTTGAAAGGATGGAGGGATGTTCATGGAAGGAGGGGCGGGCGCCCACTGTAATTTGCCTCGCTTCGCGTGCACATGGAATGCCATGGTCGTTCTGGGGAAACGGAATGGCATGTGCTCACAGCATGGCATGTGCTCACAGCATGGCATGTGCTCACAGCATGGCATGTGCTCACAGCATGGCATGTGCTCACAGCATGGCATGTGCTCACAGCATGGCATGTGCTCACAGCATGGCATGTGCTCACAGCATGGCATGTGCTCACAGCATGGCATGTGCTCACAGCATGGCATGTGCTCACAGCATGGCATGTGCTCACAGCATGGCATGTGCTCACAGCATGGCATGTGCTCACAGCATGGCATGTGCTCACAGCATGGCATGTGCTCACAGCATGGCATGTGCTCACAGCATGGCATGTGCTCACAGCATGGCATGTGCTCACAGCATGGCATGTGCTCACAGCATGGCATGTGCTCACAGCATGGCATGTGCTCACAGCATGGCATGTGCTCACAGCATGGCATGTGCTCACAGCATGGCATGTGCTCACAGCATGGCATGTGCTCACAGCATGGCATGTGCTCACAGCATGGCATGTGCTCACAGCATGGCATGTGCTCACAGCATGGCATGTGCTCACAGCATGGCATGTGCTCACAGCATGGCATGTGCTCACAGCATGGCATGTGCTCACAGCATGGCATGTGCTCACAGCATGGCATGTGCTCACAGCATGGCATGTGCTCACAGCATGGCATGTGCTCACAGCATGGCATGTGCTCACAGCATGGCATGTGCTCACAGCATGGCATGTGCTCACAGCATGGCATGTGCTCACAGCATGGCATGTGCTCACAGCATGGCATGTGCTCACAGTATGGCAAGCCAGGGCATGACAGAAACAACATCAAGTCCGCTGTTGAGCTTATTTCCACCCACGGACCTGCATGGAATGTACAGTGGGGTAACATCAAACAACACCACATGCACGGAAAATTTCTTATGGTGCACAGTGGGAAAATATAAGATGCATGGTGACAAAAGCTCATGTATTGAATTTGTCAGCTCATACCACGTACAGCTCACGTATGTACACCAGCCCAGTGAAGGTGCGGGGTATGCCTCCCATGAAGCGGTTGTTCCTCAACTCCCTGCAGGATAATACAGAGAAGGTATTGTTGAAAAAGGAGTGAGACATAGCATCACCAGATATACAGTCCCATCACCAAAAATACAGTCTCATCACCAGATATACAGTCTCATCACCAGATATAGTTGAAAAAGGGCCGTCCTCATAATCCCTCATAAGCACCCATGTGATATGACTCACAGCTCCATGAGGTTTGGAAGAAATCCTAGGAACTCCGGAATGGATCCGCCAAACTGGTTGTTGCCAAGGTTCCTGCGCGGCAACGAGGGGAGAAAGAGCACATTTGAGAAATGCGTGGTGAGTGAGTGAGACACGTGTGGCTCACGCCGCAGACACGACAACAGCAGTTGAGCGGGGCTGAAAACGCTTCAGGACCCTGCAGACGAGTGAAGGACTCAAAGGGCTTACAGAGTCTCTATATTGGATGAAAAGACTCGAGGAAGCGTCCCTGAGAGCCGGTTGGCATTCAGGTTGCTGGGAGCAGGGCAACAAAGAGAATGACAGACAGAGACGGGGGTGACGGGAGGAGCAGTGTGTTGCATTGAGCATAGTGTTCATTAGGGCGTGCAACGAGTGGAAGAGGGCGCACGGAGTCACTAGGGAGTCACCCCCCTGAAGAGTCACTAGGGAGACAATATGATGCTCGTGAGTCACCAACAGAATATTGGTGACACTGAGATGGGTGCAAGGAGCGACTCAACTCACAGGTAGGTGAGAGCCTTGAGAGCGGAGTAGCTGCCCGGAATGGAACCCTCAAGCTTGTTCCCTTGTAGATCGCTGAGAAAGAATTAAGTCAGATGCAACGTGGTGGATAATCAAGCAATGGGTTTGGGAATCAGGATTGCTATTATGCCTCCTTACAGAAACCCCTCAAATATAAAACCTTCGAAAACGAATCCTTGTGCATTGCTGAGAGGAAACAGAGTGAGAAAGAAGGTGCTTCACGGGCCGAGTCTTGAGATGTGTGAGATTGCAACCCTTAAGGTTGTTTCCTCGCATATTTCTGGGAAAACTACAGTGAGAGGGAGGCACTGGACGGACGGTCAGGCGAGTGGGGTGAGGCAGGACTGAGGGGTCAGACCAAGAATCACTCACAGGCGCTCCAGTGCAGTGAGTCCGCTCCACGTCTCTGGGAGGAAGCCTGAGAGGCCGTTATCAGCAACAAGACTGCAGAACGAGAGGCAACGCCGGGTGCAGCAGCAGAAGAGGGGCGCTCATGAGTGCATAGGACTCATCGGTGCGAGCAAAGCAGTCAAAGGAAGGTCTTCTGCTTGTGCAGCAGCGGGTACGACACTGACAAGGTGCCGCACTGACTGACAAAGTGCGGAGGCCGGTGAGCCTGTTGAGGTCGCGGAGAATGTAGCCCCGGCGCTGCTCGTACTGGTGCAACAAGTCTCTGCCAGGGCGGGTGGGTGGCAGACGCAGTGCACGCACAGGAGGGACCTTCAACAGTTTCGATTCATGACACTCAAACCCAGACAGGTGCGGCACTGACCGACAAGTTGCCACACTGACTGACAAGTTGCGGCACTGACTGACAAGTTGCCACACTGACTGACAAGTTGCGGCACTGACCGACAAGTTGCCACACTGACTGACAAGTTGCGGCACTGACTGGCAAGTTGCGGCACTGACTGGCAAGTTGCGGCACTGACTGGCAAGTTGCGGCACTGACTGACAAGTTGCGGCACTGACTGACAAGTTGCGGCACTGACTGACAAGTTGCCACACTGACTGACAAGTTGCGGCACTGACTGACAAGTTGCCACACTGACTGACAAGTTGCGGCACTGACCGACAAGTTGCCACACTGACTGACAAGTTGCGGCACTGACTGGCAAGTTGCGGCACTGACTGGCAAGTTGCGGCACTGACTGGCAAGTTGCCGCACTGACAACTTGCGGAGGCTGGTGAGCCTGTTGGGGTCGCGTGGAATGTAGCCTTTGCGCTGGTCGTACTGGTGCAGCAAGTCTCTGCCATGGTTAGTGCGCGCACAGGGGTGCAGTGCAGGGACAGGGGCAAAATCCCAGAGGCCATGGACGACAAGGATGATGGACAAGAGTGCAGCGCAGGGAATACCTTGTTTGGCGTGAGATATCCCGTTCGTATGTGAGGCTCTCTTCAGGCTGTAAATTCCTTGTCGTGAATACAATATTTGCGTGGGCTCACATGTACTGCAGGCGCGTGAGGTCAACAATCCAGGTAGGGAAGTCAGAGAAGTAGTTGTAGGACAGGTCCCTGGCGGTACAGAGCGGTGGTGGAATATTGGGGGAAGTGGGAGAGTGGAGAGTGGGGGAAGTTGAAGGAATCACTAGTCCCTTGCTTTCCCATGGTTGTACCTATATTCTATAACAACGAAAAGACCATTCGGGAGAAGTTGAAGGAGTTGGAGAAGGGGAGTGACGGGGAATGAAGTCAGCAGTACAGTGAAGAGATTGGAGACTTGGGTGCCCAATGGGTTCTTAGAATGGGTGTTGGTGGTTCGGAGCTTTTCAGAAGAGTCCAAGGTGGCGAGAAGCGGTGAAAAGAGGTTCGAGATCCTTGGGCATCACGAACAGCACAGCAGCATAAAAGGAGGTAGAGTTCACGTTGAGAGATGCGGGGGAGTTTAGAGCGGTGATTACAGGTGAGTGAGCTGAGTGAGGAAGGCGAGTTGATAGGGCAGCTCCCCGACCACTCTGCCCAGGTCCCCTAGCACCCTGATGGGGGAGGATGGATAGATAGAGAAGCAGAGGGCGGAAGAGCAGATTGTGAGCAGAGAAACGCGGGAAAGGTCAGAAACATCACGATACTAGAACATGTACAGAAAAACGAGTTAATTGTTTGACGAGCAGAGCAGCTCCAGCAGGCAAGCAAGCAAACAGCGCTCACAGCTTGTGGAGCTGCGTGAGGGTGGAGAGGCCGCTGAGAGCAGTCATGTGGCCGTCCGCCATGGCGTCAAACCCAAACAGCTCCAGCGTGTGCAAGCGGGTGGGGTGCGACACGAAGGTGAGCGTGGTGCTGACTGCAAGCGGGTGGGGCACTCACAGCTTCTGGAGGCGCGTGAGGGTGGAGAGGCCGCTGAGGGAGGTCATGTGGCAGTCTGTCATGGCGAATCCAAACAGCTCCAGCGTGCGCAGGCGGGTGAGGCAAGACACGAAGGTGAGCGTGCTGATGAAGCCTCCCAATTGGGCGCCCGGCAGGTGCATGTTGCTGGGTGGTGGTGGGTGTGGTGCGCGCAGTGTGGTGTGGTGTGGTGCAGTGGGTAACAAGAAGAGGGGTTGAGAGGGGAATGGGAAGGAGAGCGTGCTGATGAAGCCTCCTACCAGGCCGCCCTGCAGGTGAATGTTGCTGGGCGGCGGTGGGTGTGGTGGGTGGCGGGTTGATGACAGACGTAGCAGCACTTATCACAGAGGGATATTGATGGGGCGTCCTACATACAAGCCGAAGGTGCATGGTTGAGAGGGCTGAGCTGAGTTAGCGGTGTGAAAGGGGGACTCACAGGTAGGAGAGCTTGGAGAGGGCACTTAATGTGGATGGCAGCTCGCCTGATAAGGATGTGTATGCGAGGTCCCTGTGGGGTAGATTGGGTGGGGGGGCAGGGCAGAGCACTATAGTGAGAGGAGAAAAAAGAGATGAAGGGAAGCGATGAGGTGCAGGGAAGCAACGAGATGGTGAAGCATGCAAGTGCAGCGTGGAAGGAAGGAGCTCACAGGTGATCGAGGTTGGTGAGGCGGGAGAAGGTGGAGGGAATGGGTCCTGATACTTGAGTGGCCGTGAGGTCACTGGTGCCATGATGCACCATGCCACACCGTGCCACCCCATGCACAACCACACCAAAACACCACGCCATGCACATAAAAGACAAAAGGGAGGACAGGGAGACACTATAAGCCCCATGGAACAGTTCCAGATGCATTGATGGAATGGAAGGCGAAGCAGCAAGGAGGCGGCAGACGAGATACGAGAGGCATGGAAGGGTGTGAGCACGGGGAGGGAATAGAGGAGGAGGCAGGCAAAGGTAACCTCAGTCAGATGCGCCACGCCAGGCGTCCTCAAACGTGCTTTGCGCTTTCAGAGCAGAGCAGGTAAGCCCAAAGCAGGTCATTACAGATAAGCCAGGTGGCACCTCAAGAAGCGAGGCCGCACAGAGGTCGCTTACAGATAAGCGAGGTTGGTGAGGGTGGAGAGAGAGTGGGGCAAGGCGCCAGACACAGCTGTGTATGAGAGGTCCCTGCAAGGAGCGAGCGGGAACAGCGAGAGAGGGGCCGTGAGCAAAGGGGATGTTCTAGAAGGATTAATGACCATGGGGGGGGGGGGGGAGGTTGGCGTATGATTCATGACCAGGATTCATGACAAGCATAGGGGTGTAAAGGTTGGCCTTACTAAGTGGGGCCGCTAAGTGGGGGTGGGGCGCTAAGTGGGGGCGCTGAGTGGGGGCGCTAAGTGGGGCCGCTAAGTGGGGGCGATAAGTAGGGGTGCTAAGTGGGGGGCTAAGTGGGGGCGCTGGCGCTAAGTGGGGCCGCTTAGTGGGAGGCGCAGCTGGATGGGGGGGAACGCAGCTGGGTGGGGGGGGGAACGCAGCTGGGTGGGGGGGGGAACGCAGCTGGGTGGGGGGGGGAACGCAGCTGGGTGGGGGGGGGAACGCAGCTGGGTGGGGGGGGGAACGCAGCTGGGTGGGGGGGGGAACGCAGCTGGGTGGGGGGGGGGACGCAGCTGGGTGGGGGGGGGGACGCAAGGCCCAAGGTGTCTTACAGGAAGGCAAGGGCCGGTGGGAGGGCGACGGCATGCAGCTTTCCCTGGAGTTGAGGGCTGTTGGCCAGGCTCCTGAATGGGGAATGGGGGAGAGGAGAGGCATCACAGGCCCACACGGGGTTTGAAGCGCCCCAACACACTGTGGGTCGGGAGTTGGAGAGCTGTTGGCCATGCTGCTGATAGTTGGGGGGGGGGAGAAACACCAGCCCACACGCACATATGCGGCATGCAGGGAATGCAGGCAGGTCGTGCACATTGGCGTGTGCAGGGCACACCCGTGAGTGGTTTCATACACAGTACGTGACTAAACGCATGCAGCACATACAGGTATAAATAGGCACGTACAGGCACGTACAGGCACGTACAGGCACGTACAGGCACGTACAGGTATGTGAGGCGCCCTAGCTGGGTGAGTGCATAAGGAGGCAGCGAGCCTGACAACGTCCCCACTTGTGACAGGTCCCTGGGGCAGACACACGGGGGGAAACACGAGCTTGGCAGGCAAGAACCCGGAGGGGCGAGAGCCATAGGGCAAGAGCCCAGGGCGAAAAAGGGAGGTAGGAGTGAAGGGGGTCAGGCAGGGATATGGGCCGGCTCGTGACGCATATGTAACCACATGTGTATCGCTCACACGCAGATTTTGAGGCTTGTGGACCGCGGGGTGCTGCCTTCTGTGACATCACGGACTCACCCCCAGGCGACTCAGATCAGATTTCTCAGAAGTGGCTTACAGGCGGGTGACAAAGCCTCGAGCGTCGCATCCAGCCCAGTGGTTGCAGGAGAGCGAGTGGTTGCTGTTGCTCGGCCATGCCCTCACAGCACGGTTGATAGCTAGCAGCGCACGCACTGAGAGAGGTGGAGTGCGGTGAAAGGAGATAGAGGGAGATGGAAGGCGGTGCATCAGCGAGCGGGTGATGTGGATTATGAGAGAGTGCATATGGAGAGAGGAGAGGGACGGAAAGCAGCGGAGAACGCTGGGGGGAAACACGCAAGACACCGGGGGAATGACATTCAGATGAATGACATCTGATCTGAGGATATGACATTTTGAGGAATAATAACCAAGGGAATGACGCTTAGGAGAACGACATTCAGGGAAGCGGCTGGGAATGTAGGGGATGAGCTGAGGTAGAAATGCGCCGATGTCAGGCTTCAGGGCAATGCCTGGGAGTCCATCAATACTAGATTCCAGACGCCTGACCTGAGAGCTTCTAGACGGTTTTGTTTGCCTGTCATGTGTTAGGCGTCTCGCCTCTACAGCAATACCAGCGATAAAATCCATGTCAGATGCGGATAATGGGGATAAGTGGAGAAAATGGGGACAATGGATAGGCCTCACGTTGCGACGGAGCGAGGGGAATCGATCCGTGAGGAACGGCGAGGGAGATCTCGAGGAGGCCATGGCGGTGACCGACGTTCTGAACGTTATACGCGTTATTAGCTGCACCACCGTGCGAATAGTTCGACGCTAGGGCCAATGCAATGTCTAAAAACAACAGGACGCTTACGGCAGCGAAAGTCATCCAATGTTGTTTCTTGTAAACTTCTATCATGGAAGATTAGGATGCGGAAGCTCTTATCGACCGCCTTCCAGCGAGCGCTATCTCAACCTAGATTCCGTCGAACGAAAAATGCCAGACTACCAGATAGCTGCTACTTCGCACGTTTCAAGACGACGACTGTAGCCACATGGAAATGCCAGGCTAGTAGTGATCGCTGACGATCCTTATCGCCTATCCTGATACGCAACTCTTGGCGTCGGCGGGAATACGCACGAAGCAGGAACTGCTAAGAGCAGTTGGGAGGAACATACGACTTCGTTAGTGACTTTGACTGGGAGGAGATTCATCAACCTTGGGATTTGTGCTTGGGTTGATAAAGTCGGTTGCGTCGGCTTTTATTTTCTTATGCGGTGGAGTCGCGAAAGTCAACTCCATGCTGTGCTGTCAGACAGTCTGCCACCGATATACGCGGTGTTGAATGCCGCACTTCTAACGCAGTTAAGGTGCTGAAATTGACACGATATTGCAATTGACTAGGATGGATTCATTATAAAAAACAGGTCATGAGTTTCTGTTTGAATGTTGCCAGCACGCACAATGCACTACGCGTAAGACCAGGTAACAGATCGAGAGGAAGAAAATATATTGGTGACATAGAAGGCCAGCCAGCCATATGGCAACAGCTAGCAGGTCACTCCACTTCTGCCAGATAGTCATTCACTTCAGCTGGGGTTAGCACTCTGTCATTGCAACAGAGCACGTACACAGGAAGACGTACATAAAACAAAAAAAGGGTTCAGGTGACAAGACAGGCTCATATTTAAGTCCAGGGAAGCAAATACTTCCATCTCGCCGCGAGACGCAGGGTAACATACAACACACATTTCCAATATAACTCCTTCCCCTTCTTTCGCTCACTCTCGCACTCACCTGAATTTTTTGTCGCTGCCCACAATACCAATCTCAATGTTGTCGCCTGCAATTTGCCCCTCAAACCTGGTGAGAGAGTGCAAGATGGGAGGGGGAAGAAGAGGAGGGATTAAAAGCTGAGGATGACAGACCCAACAACAGCCAGACAGAGCAGAATCAACCAAGAATCTTCCTTCAAGTCAAGAGGCATAGTGCTTCACAAGACGACACTCTTTCCCAGCACAGCTACAAAGAACCTTCCATTCCGTGAGAGTAAGAGGGGCCACACGTACCCTTCTTTGAGAGTGAGAATGGCCGTGTGAATCGCATCCTCTAGCTCCATGTCCTCCGTGTACCTGATACAGGCATGTACACCCCATACAAGCACACCCCATACAAGCACACCCCATACAAACACACCCCATACAAGCACACTCCATATAAGCACACCCCCATATAAGAACAACCCACGAAATGTTAGTCATTCACAAAAAAAACAAAATCAGAACGCATTTTCAAGCACCAGCAACCGCCTGGGTTGAAAGGCAAAGTCGAAAACTATCACTCTTCCCCTTTCTAACCTCTTCTCGAGGAACGTCTTGGCGTTGGTCATGTTCTTGCCAATGGCGGAGGCCTTCCATGCGAAGTAGGAACCCGAGGGATCCACCTGGTACAGGTGCGGGCCCTGTGAGTCATACCCCGCCATCAGCAGCGACACACCGAACGGCCTCACCCCCCTGTCACGATGCATGGTGCATGTGGGTACGGTACATGTGTCAAGTGGGTATGGCGCACATGCAAGAACGGAGAGAGAAGAACAAGTGAGAGGTTGAGAGAGGTTGACAGAGGTTGAGACATGAGAGATGCCTCATGCAGCATGCTCATTAATAATCTCTGCCTTCGCTCCTCCTCACGTACACTAGGCATGTTCCACAGGCTCAGGTTCGAACCCTTTCAAAAGCCAGACTTGTCAACAACTGTAGCACCAGCCATTGTAAATTACGGCTTCACCTGACCGCACAGAACCCCCTGTCTCACCCGGATTGATTGAACTCCTGCATGACAGGCGATGTTTCCATCACTAACTGACTGCAAAACTAAAAAAGAAATCTCAGACGTCCAGATTGGCTTTTTCTAACAACACAGATTGACTTCCAGGTGGCCCTGCCTCACCCGGACTGAGTGAACTCCTGCATGACCGCCGCTGTCTCCCGCACCAGCTGCGACACTGGAATGCCCTCCTGCCACATGCACGGGGGGGGTCACATGAGCATGAGAGGGGATGAGGAGGAGGAGCACGGCGATGGGCATGTGTGGCACGGCACGTGGTGGTGAGCACCAGCTGTGACGGCGGAATGCCCTCCTGCCACATGCATGCACGGCGTGGTGCCACGAGGGCGTGTGAGGGACAGGGTGGGCTGGGGATGGGCATGAGCATGCGTGGTGGTGCACTTGGGAGGAGGCGTGGCAGAGGGCTGGGAGATAGGACCGAGAAAGTGCATTGCAAGACAAAGGCTGGGGGGAGCAACGTGAAAGCATATTATGCTTATTGCACGGGTTACCCTGTACTCGCTATAGCATGTCTCACCTTGTACACGCTGTAATAAGACTGCGCTGACTTGCGGCTCTTCCTCACGAGCACCCGAGAGTCAGGCCCGATGCCACTGGTGGTGGTGGGGGGACACAGGGAGGCGTCGGAAAAATGCGGGAGGTGGTGAGGTTTTCTAATCAGCGCCAAAATCACCTCAAATGCGGGAAGTGGTGAGGTTTTCTTACTCACAGCACATGTGAGTGAGGCCGTTTGAGATACATGGTGCATGGGTGCATGGGTGCATGGGTGCATGGGGGCATGGGTGCATGGGTGCATGGGTGCATGGGGGCATGGGTGAATGGGTGCATGGGTGCATGGGGGCATGGGTGCATGGGTGCATGGGTGCATGGGTGCATGGGTGCATGGGTGCATGGGGGCATGGGTGCATGGGTGCATGGGTGCATGGGGGCATGGGTGCATGGGTGCATGGGCGCATGCGGGCGCATGGGTGCATGGGTGCATGGGGGCATGGGTGCATGGGCGCATGCGGGCGCATGGGTGCATGGGCGCATGGGTGCATGGGCGCATGGGTGCATGGGTGCATGGGTGCATGGGTGGATGGGCGCATGGGTGCATGGGCGCATGCGGGCGCATGTTCACAGAACAGGACTGTGTTGGGTTGGGAGACAGGCACACCTGTAGACGACTCCTAAGTTGTCTGTCAGCAGTTGGATCTTCTTCACCTGACACACACACACACACACACACACACACACACACACACACACACACACACACACACACACACACACACACACACACACACACACACACATGCGTGGACACCACAACCACCACAGAGGCATAAATATACACCACAATCGCATGAGGATTTTATTACACTCTGACGCCCACAGTCTGAGAACACAAGTGGGCCGACAATCAGTACCCACTCAAACGTTTACCGAGTCCATCCATCAGCGCTGTAAAGGCGTCTTTCCTGTCTCCACCCCTCACCAACCACAACTTACATGAACCTGCAGTGGGAATTCCGCTTAAAAACGAGCTTTCACCATCCATCAACCTACTGCCGTATGTGAACCAGCAGACGACTTGCCTAAGAGCCAGAAAGAGGTGTACCGATGTCTCGTCAATGAGCGCGGTGGGGAGCTTTCACCATGTACCAATCTACTGCCATCTGTGAATCAATGTAGACATTGCCTGGGCGCAAGAAAGAGGCGTACCGAGGTCTCGTCTATGAGCTCTGTGGGAAGCTTCTTCTCTGTAGCGATCACCACGCCGTTGGTCGCTGCGACGATGGGATGCGGGAACGGAGGGATGAAATTGAGGGTTGAGCGAGCAAGGGGGTTGAGCGGGGAAGATCAAGTGACGAGTGGCCTTGCGTTACAATAAATCCTTTCAAGCCGACTCAGAAACGGCTCGTGAGGACGCCTGTAGCGAGTATGACAGCGTTGGTGGCCTGACGCGGACGGAACAGCGCGCACCTTTGATGCCGAGCGACGTGGCACCGGCAGCTACGGCGTTAAGCGCATACTCGATCTGCACCAGCTTCCCTGACGGACTGCGAAGGACGAGGAGATGGGGGAGGTGGACAAGAATTCGGTCAGGAACGGAACTGGCAGCGACCCGTTAAAAAACCTGGAAAATGTAACTGCAAGTTCATGTCGACAGAATCGCAGTAGAGGAGGGAAGGACGGGAGTACGGAGGATGAGGTATGCGGAATTCTCCACCTGAAGGTGGTGAGGGAGAAGGAGTATTGACTATCGCCCATGACGTCGCCGGATCTGCGACGGCTCGATGCGACTTAGATGCGACTGAATTCGAATTCGTCGGAAGCGACGGAATACGGTATCGCCTAAGTGACCGAGCGAAATCGACGATAGCACCGGCGCGCTGGATGTCTGTCGGACAACACACGGGCGTCACTTGGCGAGACTATCACGCCGTCGATCTGAGGAATGAGAGCTGAATGTGGGACTACAGCGGTAGAGGAATGGGATTCTTCAGACAGCTGCTTCACAATGCAAGCTCCTGACAAAAATGGTGTCACAGAGATGTTCACTTTGTGTTTGACGAATGGGTTGAGTGCAATACCGTGCAATTTGAAGCGGTGGTACGCTTCACCGTTCTGAACCGCTGGTGTTACACCTGTCCCTCGTGAGGTCTCAACGGACTTTGATCAACTCCCATAATTCTGTACGAGTACGTCTACAGTTTCAGTGTTTACAGCCAGGTTTATTTAACTCATCGAGCCTCCAATAACGGATCACTCTAATAAATGCAAGAAAAGTCATCAATAAAGCCCGCAGCCCAAGTTGTTCATGATTTAAAATGTTGACGGGGAGACAGTACAGTTTTTGGGCTGTGGCGAGAGTCCCTATCTCGTCATTTTCGTTTTTTTCGCCACTCACAGGCAACCCTCGACTTTCTCCCTGGTGGGTGCTCAATTATCCGAAGTTGCAAGTGATTTTTTTTCAAGTTTGCACAACCCTCAACATCAAGTTTTAAAAACTTGACCCGCGCGGCTTGCAACTTGGGACTCGGGCTATAACGGAGCAAGCTAGGCGCGAATTAGGGATTTCTGCTTCCCCCTGGAGCAACTTATTAGTCTCTGCTCTTACCTTTTCTCAGCCGCCGCTTCAGGAACTCCGCGTCAGCTGCGCCGTGTTTACCGCGCGCACTTAGCTTTCAAAATCGTTGTAGAAATCACGAACGAGGTAGGCGGCATGAAGTGGGCGAATCTCGAGCCGTTGATTTCCGCGATTCGCGCATTCGTCCCCGAGCTCGCGTCGGCGAAGCACAAAGGCCAAGCGGGTAAGCCACTCGCATTCAGGTCGCGTTTCCCGCCTCGCAAACTCACACATCCGGTTTCTACAACTGATCCCGCCTAGTGGCGTGGCCAGGCGGCCTAATAGGAATATTATGCCGCTCCGCATTCTCTGCGTCTCCGCACCCCTCGTTACAGGGAAGATCGCTGTGATAGGAGGATGCCGCGAGTACACGGGAGCTCCGTTCTTCGCCGCCTTCTCCGCGCTCAAGCTGGTAAGCGACTTAATTCTGAGTCCTCAAGCTAGTGAACGCCTCTTACGCCCTGAAGCTGGTGAGCCAGTCTGTGTAGCACCTCTCACACCGTTGCTTCCGGCCAATGCTCCCGTTCCTGTTCCACTTTCCCCCATCCCATCTCTCAACATTGTCTCGTTATTGCCGTCGTTATTGCCTCCATCCCCTTCTTATAATCACGCAGGGTGCAGACATAGCCCACGTGTTCTGCTCACGAGAGGCCGCACCAGTCATAAAGGCGTACAGCCCAGAGCTGATAGTGCATCCTGCACTGAGGGAATCTTACGATGTCAGGTGAGCATTTGTTCCCTGTTCCTACAGTATGAAGCTGGGCCATTAATTTTGTGTAAACGGCTTGCAGGGCAACGCTCAGCGCTGCTATCTATAGATGCCTGGAGGTTTTTGTCTTGCTTTCATCCCTTGGTTTCAGGCTCGACACGCCAGGTCAGCGGAAAGAGATTGTGGAAGCAGCCGTGAGGACGGTTTCTGATTGGCTGCCGCGGATGGACTGCGTTGTGATTGGGCCAGGGCTGGGCAGGGACTCGCTGCTGCAGGAATGTGTGGCTGACATCATGTCTGCCGCCCGGCAAGCGCGCATCCCCATGGTGATAGATGTGGTGAGTTGTACACGTAACTTTGGCACACATCTATCCTCCACGTACCCAGTCACGCCACTGTTTTCAACGCCCTTCCTATCCCACACCACTTGCCTTATGATGCCCTTGCAGGACGGTCTGCACCTGGTGTCCAACCAGCCTCACCTCATCTCCGGCTACCCCCTCGCCATACTCACACCCAACGTCAATGAGTTTTCTCGACTCTCTCAGGTTGTTGAATCTCAGCGTGATTCCACAGCAGCTGCAGCAGCTGTTACTTCTGGGCGTTCCGACCCTGGCAGTTCGCTCGCCCAGCTCGCAGCAGAGTGGGTACTTGCCTGTAACACTAAGAAACATTCTATTGCAATGTCCTGGATGGTTAACTGCAGCACCAGATCTTTATCCCGACTAATTTGCCGCGTGTTATACCCTCTCTACCCGGCTGCAGCCTTGGAAATGTCACTATAGTGCAAAAGGGAGCAGCTGATGGCATTTCGGATGGAAATGCAGGTACTGAGCTGCTTTCTCGTGCGTTACCACTGCAACCCTTCGCACACCTCTCAAACTCGCTGTGTCCCTTTGCCATCCCACCAGTTTTCGAGTGCGGCCTATTTGGATCCCCCAGGAGATGTGGCGGGCAAGGGGATGTGCTTTCAGGAAGGTACGATGCAATCCCTTCCTTAGCGCTCTGATGCAATTGATAACCGGTACGCAAGTGCCGTGTTGCTGCACTGCTCATCACCTCATGAACTCTTGACATCTTTACATTGAATGTGCAAGTTTCCTGTTTCCAGCATTGCAGTGTTTTTTGTCTGGGCTCGCAAGTGGCAGCAGCGGCTACAAGAACAACAGCAGCAGGGGGGTGTTCCATTTGACGATGAAATGCAGCAGCTGGTGGCAGAGCAGCTGTCGGACAATCCAGCAGTCATGGCAGCGTTTGCCGGGTCGCTGGTGGTGAGGAGAGCGGCAGCAGATGCCTTTGCCAAGCACAAGCGCAGCATGACCACGACCAACATCATTGAATGCCTTGGCGACTGGTAAGGAATTACATCTTCGTAAGTTGTTCCATGAACTCATGATGCCGTGCTTTTTTCCCTCACTTACCTTACAAGTTACAATGTTTCTGGTACGTGTGGTGTCTTTTGTGTGCTGTTCGCCCTCAACAGTGTTGAGGACCTTTTCCCTGTTGGTCCATGGGAGCCACAGCCAAACCTGTGATGGAAAATGTGGATAATGTGGGTTCAATCCGATTGTAAGCTCTGCTTCATCCAATCCAATTGTAAGCTCTGCTTCATCCAATCCGATTGTATGCTCTGCTTCATCCAATCCGATTGTAGGCAATGTGAGAATCAAATCTATATCATCAGGCTGTAAAACAAAGTGTACAAATGTTGTATGAATGCATCTAGCATGTGGCACATGCTACCTACACCACCTCAACAGAGATCCCAAAGAATCATAATCATGTGTTTGGGTCACAAACAACACCGGAGGGAGATAGCAATCCGAAGGACAGGTGGCTTCCTAGGAAAGCCTTGCCCTCAACAAGCCTTCTAGGAGGCATTCTCCTGTTCCTGTCCCACCTTGCGTCCCAGCACATCACGCAGGAACGGCCAGCGGAAGTGTGCCTGGGAGCGAGTGAGCAGCGGCACTCCAAACTCCATATTGGGGCTCTGCAACACACAAAATCACCACATTAGCACAATCATACAGCAACGATGCAATAATCAAAGCAACCAAGATGGAAAGCCGCAAGTGTCGAGTTGCAAAAACTTCTATATGCAACGTACCATTGTGCAGATGCCAATGTCAGTGCGGCAGACGGGGTACTGCTGAGGGCAGCAGTGGTGGTGGTCGTCGCAGCAGGTGGCATGCTCCATGGGGCAGCATCCCCACGACAGGCACAGCTTTCCAAGAGGGAGACCGCAGCAGCAGGTGGTGCCGTGGGGACACTCGTGCTTGCGGTCACACACCTCAGGAGAAGGAGGGGGAGTGGGAGGAGGCTGAGGGCCGGGAGGTGGGTTGGGTCCCTTCTTGATAGGATACGATGCCTGCATGATTCCAACCATAAGGGGATGTCAGTGCAACAGTCAAACCCGCATAGTATTAGCTCGCGGGCATCTCAATCACGCGTGCGCCATCTAGAGAAACCAAACCAGGTGTCAGACGTGGCTCCGTACCTGCATGGCGATACCGCACTGGCCTTCCTCAGCTTCGACATTCCTGACCAGCCTGATGAAGCCGTGGTCACCCCAGCGAGGACCCCACGAGTTCTTCACAATCCAGTAATCCGTTCCGTTCTCTGTGCCGTATCCGACGGCCAGAACGCCATGGTCCAGATCTGTGCCGCACTCGCCGTCGAAAATACCCTGCGAAATGACAAAATTTAGGCTGTTAGCTTCGACAAGAAAATAGGAATGCTGCGCTAAGTGTAGATTCTTCGTCTAATGCCACTTACACTCGAATAGAACTGGAATTCCCGCCGATCCGCCTCAATTGCGACGGAAACAGGCTGAACAGCAAGCGCCTTCTTGAGGCCGGCCTCGCTGTTGGAAGGAACGTCTTCGAAGTCGTCAATTGTGACAACGTGGGTGTTCATCTGAAAGTGAAACGAGGGATCTATGTCAATTCATGGTTTGTTATATATACAAGCGTCGTTTGTATTTGTTTTTATAACTATCACTTACCTTAGCCTTGTTACACTTGTGAGCTGTTGCGTCGTAAGGATAATCCTCCTCGGTGTCAAGACCGCCGTTCTTAATGATGAATTCGAACGCGAAGTCCATGAGTCCACCACCACATCCCTGATCCTTCTTCGTGTCGCAGTCTACCAACTCCTGCTCTGACAGCGAGATCAGCTCGCCAGTCACGATCTTGTTGATACCCTCAACAGCTCCAGTAGTCGAAAACGCCCAGCAACTCCCTGCAAAATACCAGATTTGTACAAATCAGCAAGTGTTTTTTTTTTTACATTTTGCGACTAATCGATTAAAAAAACGTCAGGGTGAGAGGATCAGTAACCTTACCGCATTGGCCCTGATTCTTGACATCAGTCACCGCTCCCTCCTTGCGCCAGTCGACTTCCTCCGGAGCGTTGACGTCAGCGTGCATGAAGTTTCCACGAAGCGGCCTGCCGCTGCGAGAATCCATTTCCTTACGGAAGCCCAAGCGCGTCGACTTGAACTCCTCGTGCGACAGGTGAGCGAATTCATTGAGAGCAAGAGTAAACTTCTTGCCCTGCGAGTTCAGGTTGTGAACGAAGTGCAAGTTATCCACGAACGTGCGGAAACGAGACTCCTTCTCAGCAACTCCGAAAACCTTGCCGTGCTTCACGGACCATCGCTCGAACAGGGCCTGCAGCGAGACTTCATTTGACAAGTCCGAAGGAGCGTAGCCGAGATCGGCACGAGCAGCGCTGACCAGACAGCACCAAGCAACCAGAGTCACGACCAGCGTAGCAGACGCCATTGCGGAAACCGACAGACGGTGATCAAACCCAAGAAACTACCGAGATCAAACTGAGGATGACAGACAACAGACGGAATATCCCTTCTTGTAAGTTCCTGTGTGACGGTGGACACGCCACCTGCCCTCCTTCCCCTGTTTTCCCAATCCAAGCTGTCTTGTTGATGTCCTCTCACCCTTGGGAACTGCAACGGTTGAGACCTTGAAGTTCGGGAGCTCGCGAGACTCACGGGGATCGCAACTGACGGCTTCTCTACGTTAGCGAGCTTCGCGCATGCGCGAAAATGTCGCTCCTGCTCTTATCGCACACAGTTGTCATTTCAACCAGTCCCAGCCAGGTTCAGAGTCCACCAGAGTGAGGGGCAGATGTGGCACGGCTGACACAACACTACGTGTACAACAGCAAAAGTAAGCTCAGCCTGGTCCCCGCTGACAACTTTTCGCAGTGGTTTTTCTCGCGATTGGAGGATAATGATGGCGTTCACCAAGATATCGCCACGCAGCACAACTTTGAGATAAAGCCGTCGATCTGTGACACCTCTTCAAGCAATCAGGCGCCACTGTCAGGCGGGCAATCCAATGGCTTCGAATGGCTTGGGTTGGATTGAATGGTTCGTCAGTCGGAACGGAATTGAATTTGTGCGAGTTCGGTCTCAACCACACGGGACCATTCTGGAATCCAACTGGACCGTCACAAACCCCTGTGGTTGCCATCACAGAGCATCAACAGACCTGCCATTTGGTACAAGCCACACCACGTTTGTCCGGAGAAGCTGTGTGCGAGTTACAATGTGCTTCGCCGGTGTCGCCAGTCTGCGAAACTCTGGACGACAACCTCTCCTCATCAGAGATTCGCAGAACCAGCCTGCTCACCAAAGTACAAGCGCTATTTGCATTTGCACGTAGCAGTTCCAGTTGAAGTTTTCTAGGTTAGCGCCAGAGGGGGCAACGACGGAAAATCGATTCAACAGCTTGTTTCACGGCTACGGCTGGGAGGGCTCTCCGGACAGCGCGGCCAGTTTGAAATTCGTGCAATTTCGGAACCACGTTCCAAGCTATCGCAGCAGCGGCTTCGCGTCATATACCCTTCATATCGACGGTCAATGCTCGCAGTCTTCAACGTTCGCCCCTCCTAATCACGTATGCTGGTTTCCGTTGAAGCAGCTAGGGGTGGACTTAGGCAATGATCGCCGTAGACATGTGGTCATCGTGCCGTTAAGGTAAGACGGATCAATCAGGGTGAAGCTATGCCTCTCAAGCAGCGAGAGATGCGGCAAAGAGGGGTATCGCTTAGTAGCAAGGACATGGGAGGTCACGAGCAGGAGAGGAGGCGGAGGGGTAGTATGGAGAAAGAGACGTGAATGTCGTATCCGATGCTACCGTATGAGACTCGACGGACACATTTGTTCATTCTGCGTATGAGGGGCATCCGCGTTTGTTCATTTTGTGCTGTTACCTGCTTCCGCTCCCCCACCTTCCTCATTCCACGCAGCGGTAGCCTTACGTCTGAGCCTAGCTGATCTGGCTTCGGCATGGCCGAGCCTGTGACACTGGGTCGGTTCTTTGGAGCGCTGGGCAAGACATGGGCGCTCATAGGCGCGCTCTACCTCTTTGACAAGTACTCGCCTCTTGGCTGGTGGACGTTCAAACCTCGCCCTAAGGTGACCTGGTTTTCATTGCTTTGTCTGCACACACGTACCATCATTTGATTGATACATGCCATCACATATTCAACCTGGTACACCATTCCTTCTCATATGGTCACCTTCTCTCCGTCTTGCTAAGCCCCTCCCCCATCCCCCCCCTCCACCGCACACCCCCCCGCCCTACAACCCCCCCTCGCTCTCCCTTTCCCCCTCCCGGTGCTTCTGTTCCTTCAAACCTTTCCGCCACTGAACCACTCGCAGGAGGAGAGGGCCATGGCGCACATATACGAGAGGGGCCCCACGCCCTTCCCAGGGGACGCAGCAGCCGGCGACCCACACGCAGTGGACCGGTACTTTGAGCGCGGCGGCGTGGCAACCACCGTCGTGCCGGCCCGGTTCCGCCAGTCCTCGTCTGCTGGCAGCGCTGGTGCTGACGTGGAGGGGCGGCGGGCGGCGGAGGAGCAGCGGGTGAAGCGGGAGGCGCTGAGGCTGTGGCTGCGCATGAGGAGGGAAGCAGAGAGGGAGCTCAAGGCACAGGGCTATGACCCGATGCAGTGAGGCTGTGAGGGGATGGGAGCTTAGTTCATACTATGAGAAGGAGAGTACTCATGGGGTTGGAAACAGCAGCTGGCGACCCACACGCAGTGGACCGGCGCGCGGCGGCATGGCAACCACAGTCGTGCCGGCCCGGTTCTGCCAGGCCTCTTCTGCTGGCAGTGCCAGCGCGGACGTGGAGGGGCGGAGGGCGGCGGAGGAGCAGAGGGTGAAGCAGGAGGCGCTGAGACTGTGGCTGCGCATGAGGAGGGAGGCAGAGAGGGAGCTGAAGGCACAGGGTTATGATCCGATGCAGTGAGGCTGTGAGGGGATGGGGGCATAGTTTATGCTATGCGAAGGAGAGTACTCATGGGGTCGGAAAAAGTGGTGGATTCGTGATCTGGAGGAATAGTGGCTTGTGAGAGGTGTTAATGCTGTGGCTGTGTTGGGTTAGATAGCAGACCAAAGGGGGTGATAGCATTTTAGATTCCTGTTCACTAGTCGCATTGAAAGTCTTTTAGAATATGGCGTGAAGGGATTCAGCTGTATCATTTCGTGCATAAGCCGTACCAGCATTCTTGCCTGGCTGAATCTCAAACCAGAGACATCATGAAGTTATACCGGTATAACGTGATTGGTGTCAAATTACATTTGTATGGGTACATTTCTGTAAATCTCAAACTTGGGTGGGTGGTGGATTGGTTGGGGATGGGCTGAGAAGCAGTCGTGAATATTGTGGTTGATTGGGGGGCTGTTGGGTGATGGGTGGGAGTTTCGCTGTATTGGGGATGGTGGTGAAGTGGTTGAGATGCGGTGGGATGAGCAACGGGCTGGCCAGGAGGGAAGGGGTGTAAGCAGAGTAGTGGAGGCAGGACAGGTTGAAGAAGGCAGGCGAGATGGAAAGTTTGAGCAGAGAGGGTGGGACGGGATGGTAAACAGAGTGGAGTGGAGAAAGGGCGTGACAATTGTTGCGATCAGAAGTTGATCGTGCCTAGGATCACCTCAGGAAGGTTCGCACACAACTGAGTAGTGGTGGTGGGCCATTGACCTCAATAGCAGAGTGAATATAAAATGCTTGAGATGAATCAAAACATGCAAGTACAAGGGTATAAATAAGAGTACAGGAAGGAATACGAATCGACCTAGCTAGCCATGTACTCTAAGGGGTACATTCCCTTATTACAGCGAAATCCAACCGTGCGACTCCAGACAGTTACGAAAATGTCCGGGCAGAATCCTCGCCACTGCTGCTGCCTGATGCTGTCTGCCCGACGGTCCAGATCCTTTCGTAACCGTACGACCCTTCGCGTCACTTCCGTCCTTTCGTCTTCATTCTCGGTAGTGCGTGCTTCGATTGCTGCGGTAAGGAGTGCACAGTGATACTTCAATAATTACTATTCGTAACACCCCCCTTCACTCCTGGCCGTAGCGAGTCTTGACCCGCTTGACTACTCCGCTGAGTTCGGAGCAGTGTTGGTACTGCTGACGTGACAGCTTCTTCGTGAGGAAGTCAGCTGCCATGTCACCCGTCGGGCAGTAGGTTAGGTCAACCTTGCCCTTGTCAACTTCGTCCTTGACGAAGAAGTACCGCGGCGCGATGTGTTTGGTGCGGTTGACGAATCCAGGCTTGTTCGCGATCCTGATCGCGCTCTGATTGTCGCAGTGCAGGCGAAAGTTCGCCGAGGCTGGAATTTTCGCCTCCTGCAGCAGCTCTTGAAGATAGAGGCCTTCGCGAACGGCTGCTGTTGCTGCGATGAATTCAGCTTCCGCCGATGACAGGGCAACCAGCTCCTGCTTCTGTGAATTCCAGGAGATGGGGCCGCTGGGCTCGAGGCGGAAAAGAAAGCCTGTCCTGGACCGTCGATTGTCGGGGTCAGCGGCGTGATCAGCGTCCACGTAGCCGATGAGGTTGATGGACGAGGTTGGGATGGTGGAGTAGCAGAGCCCAACATTGGGCGTGGAGATGAAGAACTGAAGTGCCCGCTGGAGATCTAGCAGATTCTCAGCCGTTGGTTTGCGAGAGTACTGAGCCAACTGGCTCGCGATGTAGGATAGGTCGGGCCTGCAGGTAACAGATGCAAAGAGCAGGCATCCCAACTGCTGCTGGTAGGTGTGAAGCCCAGCAGGGGACAGGGCTTTGTTGTCAGGCTTGTGGTTGGGCCCTGGAGTGCGGTAGGGGGTGGAGAGTGGTGCAGGCGCAATGTTGAAGCGCTTGCTAAGCTCCTCTGCGTACTTGGCTGCTGAGAGATGAATGGCTTCCGGCGAGTAGGTGATGTTGAGCCCGAGGAACTGCTTCACGTCATGATTGCAGGTGATGTCGACGCGTCCTGCGAGGTTTTTCTCGAACTGCTCAAGCAACTCGTTGCTTGACCCTGTGTAGAGGAGGTCGTCGACGTAGACCGTGAGTAGGATGTATTCGCCGCGGAAATCGCGGCGATACATCCCAGGATCGTGAGGCAACTGTTTGAACCCGATTTCAAGCAGTATGTTGTGCAGGTACTGCTGCCAGAGCCTCGGCGCCTGTTTGATCCCGTAAAGATATTTTCGCAGCTGGCAGACACGCGAATCCCCTTCGCCGTATGTGTGCGGCTGCTCTACGTAGATCACTGCATCCACTAACGCGTACAGGAACGCGTTCTTCACATCGATTTGTCGGAGCGGGAGATGTCGTGCTGCAGCGATGGCGAGGAGAATCCTGACGGAGGTATGACGGCTAACCGGTGCAAATGTCTGGTCGAAGTCAATGCCGTGCCTCTGATCGTAACCGCGCACTACCCAACGCGCCTTGAATCGCTCGATCGTGCCGTCGGCTGCGGTCTTCACGCGGAAGACCCATTTCCCGGAGAGAATCCTCCTCCCCTTAATTGCCGCTCGATCGACGAGCACCCATGTGTCACGGGACTCAAGTGCCTTAATTTCCGCATCCATCGCTTCGCGCCACTCCTTGCTATGTGGCCCCGTGAGTGCTTGGCGCGGATTCTTCGGCTCGATGACACGTGGCGCCGTTGTGGTGGCAGTGTGGAGCCCGAGAAGTTGGAGTCCCGAAACTGTGCTGTCGTGGCGGTGCTGTGGGATGACTTCCTGCACATCGTCATCGTCGCTTTCTGGTTCAGGTGGTGCTGGCGGTGCTGCGCCTCCGCCGCTTCCGCTTCCGCTTCCGCTTCCACCTGCTGTTCCTGCTCCTCCTCCAGGAGAATCGTCGTCGTCGTCGTCGTCGCGATCGCCTCTTATGAACTCGTCTCTGGGGTCCTGCTCCAGAATTGCTGTTGCGGCTTCGTCCTCAGGTGAGGCGTAGCTGTGACCGTCGTTGGCATAGACACGGTTCGCGTTCGCCTGCTCGTCTTCACGGAATTGCCGAAGGAAGAGCCGTTCGTAGAAGATGACATCGCGCGCGTTCTTGATTTTATGGCTCAATAGGTCCAGAATGAGCCATGCTTTGTGCTCGTGGCTGATGCCGAGATGAATCCCCCAGCGCGCGCGGCTTGCAAACTTCCCGATAGTCGATGTCGGCGGGCGGTACTGCACCATGCATCCCCACACGCGGAGCATGGATGTGTTGCCCTTGGTCCCCGTCCACTTCACATGCGGTGATGAGTTGCCAGTGATGGCGGTGGTTGACAGCAGGTTGTGCACCCGCACGGCGTGATGCATTGCGTAGGTCCAGTAGGTATGCGGAAGCTTCGACTGCTTCATCAGCGCCTGCACCTTCGTCATGAGGGTGCGATTCGTGCGCTCGGCTACGCCCTGCTGCTGGTGCGCGTAGGGGAGGGAAATGTGGTGCTCGATTCCCTTCTGCGCGAGGTAATCCTGCAGCTCCTTGCTCCTGAACTCCGCCGCGCCGTCAGATTGCCAAATCTTCAACTTCTCCCTAGATTGCCGCTGCGCGTGCGCCAACCATAGGCGGAACACTTCGTACGCCCTGCTGTGCGCTTCCACGTTTACGACCCATACGTAGCGCTTTCCGGCGTTGACGAAGGTGAGCGTGTAGAGTTCGTCGTTGATGCCGCAGTATCCCATGTTGAGGAAGTCACTGTACACCTTCTCTAGTTTGGTGTAGCGGTTAGTCCCGGGCTCTAGCAGGGGGAACGGCTGGTGGCTCAGCGCGGCTTCGGGGCAGACGGTGCAGTTGAGCGGATGTGTTGCGCCCCTTACTTCGGTGCCATCAGGGCGCAGGAGTGCGCCAGGCGCAAACACGCCGGCCTCAATGCAGTTCTTCAGTGTTACGCGCGAGGGGTGACCTAGGCGCTGGTGCCAGATGACATCGTCGGCGCGGAATCCAAAGGTGCGCATGTAGCGCGCTAGTGCTTCTGCGGGATCCTCGGCGGGTGCTTGAGCAGGTGGCGCCGCAGCTTCTTCAGCTCTTCTTCTCCGTTCGCCCTTGTCAACATTAGCGCAAGAAACTCCCTGTCAAGGATGGTGGAGAGGGGAATATTGGTTCCACGGATAGTTCTCGGGAAGAAGGTTGGTTCGCGCGGCTCGGGGGTAGGTCCGTAGATGGTGCGACGCAGAGTAGATGGCTCGTTCCCCCAGTCGATGGTGTCCCCTGGGTGAATGTCAGGTGGGGGTAGGGTAGGTGCAGGGCGGCGCGGAGGGCAACCAAGAGGAACTACAGGAGGTTCGACCTCGATTTCCTCTGTTTCCCCCCTTTGGTCCTTGTGGAAAGCTCCCCAGCCGCTTGTCTCGCCGCCAGATGAGGCTGCCCATCCGCCGGTGTCTCCGCCGGTGTCTCCGCCGGTGACTGCTCCCCATCCACAAGTGTTGCCGCCAGTTGCGGCTCCCCATCAGCCGGTGTTGCCGCCAGTGTCGCTCGTTCCCCATCCGCCAGCGCTCCCCCACCCCCCTTCATTGGAGGCGCTCTCTTCTTCGCCCCATCCTCTCCAGGCGAATGTGCCGCGCGACTCCGCAAGGCTCCGTTGGCGAAGTTCTTCCGCTTCGCGGCGCGCCAGTTCCTCCTCTTGCGCCACGGTAAGCTTCTTCGTAGAGTCGCGCTGGTGAGCGTAGACCTCCAGGAATGTCTCCTGTGT